TTGCCGCGGCCGAGCATCATCCGGGGCATGAAGCACCGTTGAGGTCGTGCGTTGCACGCCAGTTCCGCAGCTTGGGGAGGAGAAACAATCCACATGCACCTTCTTCCCTAAGGCGGACATGACATGGAACATGGGATGGAACATGGGATGACGGGTTTTGATATGTTTTTTATGGGGGATTTAAAAAAATGCTTTCTTTCAGTGATCCCTACCGACTGACATTCCGTCTGGCATTCTCTCTGGCATGTGTTCGGGTCCAAGCGTGCCCAGCTGCATCCAGAGCTCGCGATAGGGTTCGGGTCCAGGCGTGCCAGCGGTATGGCTCGGAAAGACAAGGCTGACATGAGGCGGAGATGAGGACAAGAAGGAGGAGGAGTAGGTGCAAGAGTGACATTTAGTGGACAGAATGTGGTATCCATATTTGCTACTGAGTGGTTGCACATGGCTGTACTTGTTGCATCATTGCTGATTTGCTCTCATGTCTGCTGGTGTGCATCTGCCTGAAAGCTGTCTTTTTCAGATTCTAACCATGAACCCAATACTTTTTGCTCTTGTTCTTGGATCTGGGCTGGTGGGTGGGTTGGAAATTGTGTTGGGAATGTCGTTGCTGCGGTTCTTGGATCTGGGCTGGTGGGTTGGTTGGAAAGTGTGTTGGGGTTGCGTTTCTTTGTTAAAATCTAGGGACCCTCAATGAAATGATGGAATATAGAATGGGAATATACAAAGGGAATATATAGTCGGAATATCATGTATAATGGGACGATAATGGAGATATCATGGGTATATATGATTGAGTTTACAACCAACGATATATGGTCCCCTTGGTCATCCCTTGACCATGAGTGGGATTTATCCTTTTTTGTTGCTGTAAATCCCTGTGAATGGTGGTATTCTGCAGATTCCCAGCTCGTGGATTCTGATAGGCCCCGACCACCCCAACAGACTAAGAAGTCGAAGCCACAATAACCAAATCATTTAGAGTACTTTAATGACCCTGGAAAAACCATGGGCCACAGAACTGCTAGGGTTGTGCTTCTCCAAATTTAACCAATGAAAAAAGGAAAGTGGTGCCACTTGGTCCAAGTTGCCATAGATCTCCGTAACTGCTTCGGACCACACCACTTCTGTTTCGTTGAACCTGGCAATGCTCCGACGACTCAATCAAAATGCATGTCATGCAATATGATCATGGATCTGGCGACCAACAGGAAATACATAATAAACCAGCTTGAAAATGAGGAGCTTGAAGCACAGTTTCTTAATCACTTCTTTTCCGTGCCACTAGCCGAACATTGTATCGAACCAGGTTCTGAAGAAAAATTTGTCAGACTCACTTCTATCCTCCGTAATCCTTCGTAAAGTACATCAGGGTTGTGAAGGGTATTCCCCTCCAGCCGTGAAAGGGTACCGGGTTCACCCTTTCACACTCATCTTTAAGTTGCAGGATCTTGCGCTGTCCTGCTGTCCCACATATGGGTTTGTCTGAAAATTGGATACCCCTGATCAACTGAAGAATCACAATTTGCCTCATCAAAATTGCAATTGGGTATACCCGATTTCCAGACACCCATATCATCCATATCCACCAGGCGGCTGAGCACAGGTGGTGCGAGTCATGGCGGGCTGCGGATCTGAAGGCCACATGTGCCTTCCATCGCCGACGTGGGGAGACTTAATGGGATACCCACGGAAAACACTGGATTTAATATAATTAAACCATCAAAATTGGGGGCTTAAATGGAATTTCATGAGATTTTCAGAGAAGTGATTTATATAATGGGGAGATAATGGTGTATATATATATATAGCATTATATAGCCAACATTAGCCAACAATATGATATTAAAAGTCTATGTGCAGGTATACAATCACGTACATATACATATGTAGGCATGTATGTGAGCGTGATATTTTTTCGGGTAGATTTGGCATTCTTTCCAGCATCCGTTTAGCTTTCGGACACCACCAAACAGGGCACCACAGAACTGTCACCCAGAGAAATAAATAAAGCTTCAGCAATATCAACAACAGCCGCAACGTTTTATGATTACAAATCTTTCGGAAGCGTGCTGCGAAGCCAAGCGCTGGAAACACTTCAGCTGGGTTTCCGTGAGTTAAATGGCCTCAAATCCTGTTGAACCTGACCTGGCTCTGCACCAGAGCCTCCCAGACCTTCTCCGGAACCTTCTCCGGAACCTTCTCCGGAACCCTGTTGAACCTGACCTGGCTCTGCACCAAAAGCCTCCCAGACCTTCTCCGGAACCCTGTTGAACCTGACCTGGCTCTGCACCAAAGCCTCCCAGACCTTCTCCGGAACCTTCTCCGGAACCCTGTTGAACCTGACCTGGCTCTGCACCAAAGCCTCCCAGACCTTCTCCAGAACCTTCTCTGGAACCCTGTTGAACCTGACCCGGCTCTGCACCAAAGCCTCCCAGACCCTGTTGAACCTGACCTGGCTCTGCACCAAAGCCTCCCAGACCTTCTAAAGCCTCCCAGACCTCCGGAACCTTCTCCGGAACCCTGTTGAACCTGACCCGGCTCTGCACCAAAGCCTCCCAGACCTTCTCCGGAACCTTCTGCGGAACCCTATTGAACCTGACCTGGCTCTGCACCAAAGCCTCCCGGAACCTTCTCCGGAACCTTGGAACCTTCTCCGGAACCTTGTTGAACCTGACCCGCCGCCTGCACCACTGCACACCGGAGCTATTCTGGGCTGAAGACCCCATTAGCTTACGCTGTTGGGGAACAATGCAGGTCATAAGAATTACCATAACTTAGGTTTAATCCCCCTCTCAAAAGCCATCTGTTTGCTCAAAAAAAGCCACTCCCCGGGCTTCTCGCATCGGCCTGGTGCCAATGGTGTGGATCAAAGGCTCAGTGCCAATGCAGTCTTGATCGATCTCATTGGACGTTTCTCTGCAATCAGTTGGGTGGAAATACAGGCGGAAGATGAATTGCAGTGGGCTCCATCTTGGGATTGCATGTATTTTTTGTTGTTTTTTTGTGACTGTCATTTCTTCCACTCAACATCACTAAACCACCATTCGGGTCAGGTGGAAATTGGCCCAGTTGTTCAGGTGATGTTCAGACCAGAAATCCACCACTTCACCGGGCATCTGTGACGATGGCATCCACCCTGTTGGGCACGATGCTGTTGAAGCCTTTTCGAGGATCTAGGTGTCCAACCTGCACTTCGGCAGTTGGATGATCATTGAACCTCGAGAAGTTGGGATATGGGGCTATAATTTTGCCCCCTTTATGGCCATATCTAGCCGCTAAGTGGAAGTGCAACCCCAGTTGACCACCAAATTTGGCTCTCTTTTGGAAATGGATCAGATGGTTGGCATTGGCTCCGGGCTTCGGCCAAACATTCGCTTCACAAATGGCCTGTGGCTAGAGTTAGAAAGCTGCAGATGGGTCTTTTGCCAGTTTTCTGCGATGGAGTCTCGCTACCTTGCCTTAATCATTCAACATAAGCTATGAAGGAATAACCTCTGGTAAATTCACATAGCTATGGACAAATCACTACGATTACAGGTCAATCATCTACAAATGGGCGATATTCCATAGCAAAGTGTCGATCAATTCACTGGCATCTGCATCCTCAATGCTAAGTCAGGTGGGGGCCGAACCTTGAAATCCTTCCAAACCAACAACTTGGCAGTGACTGTCACCGTCTGAAGCACCGGACTCCCTGGCCAAGGGGCAACAGCAACGCCAACACTATGCCCTTGGAATGTCATGAAACCTTCCCAGTATCAAGACCTTTAAACGTGAATAAAAGATTAATAAAAGTAAATAAAGGACCGTAAAAGACCCTTCAAACTGCCCTTTCTTTTGACCCAAAAACTGATTTCTTCCACCTTGGAGCCATACTTCTCCCCACCTTGGAGCCGTCGGCTCCCCGCCATCATGGTCTCGGTCTCCATGTGCAGCCGACCTTTCTGGATGTGTTCCGAGTCGCAGCTGATGCAGCCAGCTGCGGTGACCAGGCGCTTGCTTTTGCTCACCTGGCATGGCAAAAAAATGGCAAGGGATGGCATATGGTGAGCCATGTAGGGCCCCAAAACTCATGAGCTTCGGCCGAACGACTCATTCTGGCCCTTTCTGTGGTCCCCCCAATCGAACAAAAAAAATACTTGGGAAAGGAAAGGGTGGAAAGAAATGGCCACTGCTCGGGTTAGATCAACTTTGATTCATTATATCAACTCGACCGGTGGTAGCATGCCCGACCCATCCAGACTCGTAATCTGGACTGAGATCTTACGGAACTTCGACTCGCCCCAACAGCCTCCAGCTGCATCTGGGAATTGGTGAGGGATGCGAAACTTTCATTCCTCAAGGTCGGTAACATCCGTCGAGTCGCGGTCTCTGTTTCTTGCCACCTAAAGACCAATTCAAGTTGGTTGTAGATCCGACTATATCCCCATGAAATCCTTATTTTTCATCCAGAAATTTGGTGAAATCCCAAATTTCCACCAGGATACCAGCTGAAAAAAAGGTCACCCATCTGACACATCCAAGGGACTCCATGTTGGACACCATGGCATCCCCCAATGCCAAGGCCAGAGCTTGCACTTCGCCCTGAAAGCCTGGCAGCGGAACGCTCAACAGGGATCATCATCCCATTTCTGGGTGGAAGTTAAAGAAATGTGTTAAACCACCAACCCGTATTATGTACATATGCGTTCATACACATATTAAAACATATATATAATCATATATAATCATATATAATCATATACATATATGTTGATATCTCATATGTATATATATATATATATATACACGCGTAATCATAGATACTCCACCAGAAGAAATCCTTGAAACCAATCGTAGAAAGACTGGAACAAAGACATGGAAAACAGCCGGTCTTCGATGCCTTGTGGATCACCAAGCACATCTTCGGGCGTGTTCTCAGTGACTTTCCCGATGGCATTGAACATCCTGTCCGTATTGAAGTCTGGCAGTTCCATGGTTGTGGCTTGGAGTGGTACTTTTTGTTGCCCATCATAAGCATCTTCAAATATCAAACATATTCAAATATCATATTTCTGTAGCAAAAATCCTTTTTGTTGAAATCATCTTCCTCTTCTTTGTCCATGATTCATCCACTCTCTATGTAAAGGCCTGTTTTGCCGTCCACAAGCCAAGGGTCGATGTGGCCACCCGCCGATCGTGGAATGCATTTGTTGTGGGGAGCGCTAAAATCCTCCGCAGCATCGAGGTGGCGGCATGGCCAGTCCTGATGCTTGGTGGGTGGCTTGGTGGCTTGACGGGATCTTAACGGATTTCTATGGTTGGCAGTGGGCAGGTGGATCAAATGGGAGTGCAGGAAGATTACTTGTAGGCCCCTTGATGCATGACTCCTGATGTGGGGGGTTGCAGTCCATATCCAACTACAAAGGATGGCAGGAGTTTTGTTCCGATAAAAAGTTTGGTTGAAAATGATTCCAAGAATAGGAGTTTTGTCAACGTACTGACAACCTAGCGCCAGATCCAGCGAACAGAAAAGGGACCCTCACCCACCAAGCGTCTCGTTGTTGACCGGTGCCAACGACGCCACCTCCCCCACAATGGAGGCCTTCAGCAACAGCTCACGGATCCCCAAGAAATCAGCTGGTTAATAAGGTCTCTCCAGTGTTTCGACACACCCCTTCACTAACATTTCACTAAACATTTATGAACTTCAGGGAAGAAACCAAAATTGTAGGTCTTGGAATAGACTCCATTTATGTTGCCTGTTGGGTAAAGGGGAATCAACATCCACGCGCCAAACAAAAAATGATTTCCAGACCAGCAAGTCTGACTTAGGAAACCTCCTGACTTCAAAAACTCGGACACGTCTCTAGATTTGGGTTCCCGGGTCACATTGCTAGATTTAAGGCCCTAGACTAAGGACGACCAGCTGAATTCCAAAAACTAAAAAAGAACATGCCATCCCATGAAACACAGGTTGCTTGATAGGTATCCCTTTGATCCCCAATAAACCAGGTAAGTTTCTAATCCCTGTGTCAACCCATCAACGATCAACTGACCATCATTTATCAGTTATATTTCCCCCTGTTTACTGTTTTTTCACCATTTCAAAACCATATTTAATGGCAATCATGTTTGTTTTCCCCGCAGAGTCAGTGCTTAGTTACCCTATATCTGATTTTGAAATAATTTCACCACATTATTATTCAGTGGTTAGTTACCCTATGTTGTTCCCTATATTCAATCGTTAAATCCCCAGATTTTTGAAGCCACTGCTGGGACCATTGCCGGCGAGGCGCGAATTCTTCCATGGATTCCGCCGTGGGGTCCATGGTCTCTGAGGCCACCTCCAGATGGGCGGGGTGCTGGGCGGCTCCAAAAACCTGCAATTTTGGTGTATCCAAACATGGGGAGATGTAATGGCTGTTAAATCTATACCAGTGCCGCACACAAGGCGGTGGCGGAAGTTTCAAAAACAGAAAACCTAAGGGAGAGTTTGGTTGTTGTCAATCACAGATGGCAGAGCGAATCCACTGATGGACTGAAAGGTGGTGGGAATTGTGTTTGTTGGAATGGATACAATGGTTGCGGTGGACCTCACCCACAACTGCTGGATGTAGTGAGGTGTATGGCAGCTGTAGCTGTAGTGGTAGTGTAATGGGGTTGTAGTTGTGGTGTAGTGTAATTAGTGTAGTGCAGTTGCAGTTGCATTTGTGGTGGTGTAATGAGTGTAGTGTAATGTAATGCAAGATAGTGTAGTCTAGTGTAGTGTAGTGTAGTGTAAAATAGCATAGTTGTAGCTGTAGTTGTAGTTAGTGTAGCGTAGGGCAGTGTAGTGTAGTGCGGTGTGGTGTGGTGTAGTGTAATGCAATGCAGTTAGTGTAGTGTAGTGTCATGTCGTGTCGTGTAGTGTCATGTAATGTTGTGTATTCTAGTGTAGTGTAGTGTAAAATAGTGTAGTTGTAGCTGTTGTTGTAGTTGGAGTAGTGTAGGGCAGTGTAGTGTAGTGTAGTGCGGTGTGGTGTGGTGTAGCGTAATGGAATGTAATTAGTGTAGTGTAGTGTAGTGTCATGTCGTGTCGTGTAGTGTCATGTAGTGTAGTGTAGCGTAGTGTAGTGTAGGGCAGTGTAGTGTAGTGTTATGTAGTGTAGTGTAGTTGTAGCTGTAGTTGTAGTGCAGTGTAGTGTAGTGTAGTGTGATTGAGTGTAGTGTAGCATAGTGTAGTGTAGTGGAGTGTAGTGTAGCGAAGTGTACTGTAGCGTAGTGTAATGTAATTAGCGTAGTGTAGTGTAATGTACTGAGTGTATAGTGTAATGTAATTAGTGTAGTGTAGTGCAATGTAGTGTAGCTGTAGTTGTAGTTGTAGTGTAGTGCAATGTAATTGGGTGTAGTGTAGTGAAGTGAAGTGGAGTGTAGTGTAGTGAGATGCAGTGTAGTTGTAGTCGTAGTAGTAGTTGTAGTTGTAGTTGTAGCGCAATTGTAGTTGTAATTGTAGTTGTAGTAGCAGTGGTAGTTGTAGCTGTACTTGTAGTGTTGTTCAGTTTAGTTGTAGTTGCAGTTGCAGTTGTAGTTGTAGTTGTGGTGTAGTTGTAGTGACAGTGGAGTGTAGTGTAGTGAGTGTAGTGTAGTGGTGATTGTAGTTGAAACTGATACGACATCTGAACGTCCAAAAGTGCTCCGTACCCCTGAGTTTTTACTTTTGACTTCGAAATGTGATTCGCGCCGCAACGGCCTTTCGACATCTCAACTTCCAAAAGTCGTCCGAACATGTGGTGTTTTCTACATTTTGAATTCCAAATGTGCTTCGCGCCACAACGGCGTGCAACTTTTCATCTCTCATCTGGCCAGATGGCTCCGCACCCGCCGCTTTAGCGAGCCCGGAGCCACAAATCATTGGAGAAACACAATGCTTCGCGACTTTCCTACCTTTGCGCGCACCTGGATCTTCTTTCTTCTGAGACTTTCTCTTCTCTGATCTTCTCTCTTCTGCTCTTTTCTTCTCTGACTCTTCCCACGTCTGCTTTTCCATCTGTCCATACTATCGGAAGTTTGACTTCTAAACTTCCTTCCATAATATATGAAAGATACAATATGATATAATTGATATTAAATCAAAATCGATCTTCATTAGAAATCCAGAAAAACCAATTGATATTTGGAACGACCAACGAGTTCCCAGCCTGCAATGCTCTCAGAAAGTCTGCTTGTTGCATAGTTGTTGTGCCACTGTTTGTGCCCATTGAAAGGATAGCCTGTGTGGGGAACAACCAGCGGTCGACATCTCCGGAATTGGATACACTTGGTTTACAGTACACCCCCATCTAATTATAGCTATTTCATCACCATAGCTAACTATAGTTGTCAATGTAATTGCATTTATAATCTAACTATATATATATATTATTTATTTTTATATCATAGTAACCTATAGTTAGATATATCAAACCTCTAACTACATCTACAATTCTAATTATATATATATCATTACAACTATTATATATATATACATAGACCTTCTATATACCACAAATCAATGAGCTCCAGTTCTACTCCCACAACGTCTCCATCTCGTCTCCTCTACGGAGCTGAAGATGCGCTGGGCATCGCCCGTGACCACCTGGGCGTTGAGCAGCGACGTCATCTCCGTGGCGTCCATGGCCTCGCTGCCCACCACGACGCCCAGCAGCCACGGCGAGTCCGCCTGGACGTGGAAAGGATGTGGAAAGGGATGGGGTTCCATGGGAAGATGATGAAAATGTTGGGAAAATGATCAAAAAAATGGAACATGATAGGAAAATGCTGGTCAAATCATGAGAAAATGATGGAAAACCATGGGATTTGGGCCATGTCTTTAGAAATTTTTGTGAGGAACATGATGATAAACTGTGATGAACTATGTAACTATGGTCTGGAACAGTTCTATTGCATAGTTTATTATGATGGAGTTACAATGGGTCAAAATTGAGTCTGTCATGAGTGTTCAGCCATGTTCAGCCACGTTCATTAGGCTAGTGTACCAAGTTCCTGTTGGGAATATTTTGGAGTTGTCTGGCTTCATTAATGGTTCATCTTGGGTTATTTGTGACCAAACATTGCCTGCATTGGAATTGTTCTAAGAAGGGGGGATTGCTTGGGAGTCGTACTGATTCTGGACCCACCCATGATTCACGGGGGAAGTGGCTGGTGAAAATCGATTGAAAGTCATTGGTTGGTTTTTTCCTACGAAGTTTCTACAGATTTCCCCGCTCTCGGGTTTCCATGATTTGATCTATGAAAGTTCCATCAACCCATCAAAAGTCAGCGGCTTCAGTGGATTCATCAGTGGATTCAGTCAGCTGGGAATGGATTTCACCGCTGCCGCTGGGCCACCTTTCCACCCACCGAATCTCGCGCGCGGACGAGGATGTAGAACTTCCCTGAGGGCATCAAGGTTTGGAGCCACGGACTTTTGGCCTCGGAAAGGCCATGAATTTTCAGCAAAAATCGATGGTATCTTTACGGGAAATCATGGAAACCTATGGAAAACTATGGAAACCTCTTCGCCTTAGCTCCCTCTTAACCCTGGAAATGCCATGAGTCCTGTCACGGCCCAGGGTTCAGGGGTTCACCATTGGGCTCCCGGGCCCAGTCGCGTAACATGACGCCTCCGAGGGCCCGAAAGTAGTTGGGAGAGGTCACCTCACAGGGTGGACATCAAAAAAATCGGTGATATCCCAAGCTGTTTGTGATACAAAAACAAACCATTTTATGGTTGGAAATGTTAGTTGGAATATGTTCTAGGACCCCAAGTTCTCAGGCAAGGGCTACCCCAATTTCGAGAAACACCCACAAGGGTTGGAATATGTTGGAATCATCTTCATGCAACCAGGCATGGGTCCACAACCTTCCGTACGCCGAAACAACTTTTAGGGTGATATGGATATGGATCAAAGTTGGGGCATCCCCAAAATCTGGATGGTTCATGATCAAAATATATACAAACTCTACAGGTCCATTTATTCACAGGCGTGGGTGTGGTAGGAATATGGCTTGACCCAGCCACAAACCCCATGGCCGAAACACTGATGATGTGGTAAACCTAATGCCCTAAACCTCCTTTGGGCCGCTCTGCAGTAACTGACACTCCAAATGGTAAGTCATTGGATAAACAGCCAAGCCATTTCCGGCAAATATTGATGTAAGCAGATTGACTATTGGGCTCATTACGGTCTGGCCACATTCACAATCAGTCCATATCGCCAGTGTCATGGGTTGTATCCCAATCTAATTGGTGAACATCCCGGTTTTTGTTGAATATGGCTACTGATCATTTTCTTAGTTCCCTGCTAAGCACTTGCAACCCAAGAATTGACGGAAGATAGGTGTTGATGCATGGAAACTGCCAATCACCCAACCAGTTGTATCACAACGTCTTGCTTGGTTTCCAGTTATATGCCCATCTTTCTGTGAAGACACTTTCTAGGTCCCTCTGTGAAACGGCTCCCTCACTTCGGCGGCTGAGGCACATCTTCCCATTGAATCTCGGGCAGCGCCAAGCGATCCTCACAGCGATCGATCGCGGCTCCTTCAGCCGTCTCTGAGGCAATGATGGCAGCAGAGAAGCGGAAGAAGGCGTACCTTGGGATTAGATGGAGTGTTCACAACCTATACATATATAGACATGTAAGTGGACTGTCATAATCAATGGACTATCATAGTAAATTTGTAAATGCACTATCATGTGTATATATATATATACACATACTACAGATGATATTGACTATCTTTTGAGATGATCAGTCTAGTGTTACCAACAGAAGCACTTGGGGGAAAACCCCAATGGCAGGGTTTCAAATGGATCAAATCTGTGGCTTTGATTTCCAGTGGATGGATTCTGGTAAAACCCATTTAATCGCATTTACACAATGATAAAACATACAGTCCAAATAGATCATAGCCACATGTGCAATGTATATATATATATCTAGATCACAGCGTTCACTTCATAGCGCACCAATCTTTCGCCTTTTACTAAAGGTTGCCGTGAATGGGACGCATCAATGTGACTAAGGTTAAGCTCGAGAGGACAAACAGCTGTCCCAGGGTGCCCATCGACTTAACCTTAGTGGGACCTTTTTGTGTTTCCACGGGATACCGCCTGCCATATCCATCCTGCTTTGGTGAATCTTCACTGGTGGCAGCCTTGGTCCGCAGTCCCAGCTGCGATATCAATCCTGGGTCCGACTGAACTGGCAAGCCCTGGTCGGATAGCGGCGGCTCTCCTTCTAGCATTGCGCTGGCCCCTCTACATTCTGGACATCTTCTTCAGTGCTTCGCTCTGCGATCATTGATTGTGAGGACGCTCCGGTGTATGAGCAGGTGGACAGTGATCTACATTTTCTTGATTTTGATTCTTAGCGCCGTGAACCAGTTTCGCGCGGCCAACGACGATAACCACGACACAAAGACGGTTATTGCGGAGGGCGAGGGCAAGAGCAAGGAGAGCGTTTCATCTTCACAAAACGGGATTGTGCAAATTGGATCGAACTCGCCTTGCCAAGATCTACCTCACTCTCAGCAAACATCATTCAAGAGACAGCAATTACCTCGAGAACATCTTGGACGCCATGACGGAAACAGATCCGTGGCGATGCAAGTGGTGTATGCGACTCAACAAGGCGAAGGCATTACGATGTGGACGATGCGACTATCAGTGGCACCTCTGTTTGGACCCCTCCTATGTGCATGGAGGGAGAATATCAAGGGGGAGCGACTGGACCTATGTGGGCTGGAACGAGGCAGAGAGCAATCGAAGGGCAAGGAAGCCTTCAGCATCTCCCCACAGCTCACAGAGGGGGCAGACACCGAAGTCGAGAAAGACCAAGAAGAAAGCGCAGAAAGAAGCACTGACGCCTCCACTGGACCCGCCGTGGAACAGCAAGGCCTTCAATGTGAATCAAGCAGCGCCTTCACAGACCACACCTCCACCTGCAGATCATCAGATGGAGGCCAAGTACAATCGTTTGCTAGCAGCCTTGGGGAAGCAGGAAAATTCGGAAGAAGTTCAGTTGATTGTGGAGGAGGACACAGCCAAAGTGGCTTCTTCAAAGCAAATGCATGCAGCAGTCAAGAAGCTCGATCAGGCTCGCACCAAGTTTCAAGGGGCGCAGAAGGCAAGGCAAAACCTTCACGACTCTTGGTCGAAGTACTTGGAGGAGTCGATCAAGCGATGGACATCTTTCGCGGAGGACTTTGGCAAGAAAGACAGCGAGCTGGAGGCCAAAGTTATCCAGGCGAGAGAGAAGCTGCAGGAAGCAAGGTCGCATCTCGACGAGACGAAGGAGCAGTTGTCCAAAAGAGACGAGGCCTTTGTCAAAGACACCGAGCAGATCGACTACGAGATGGACGAGGACAACAACAAGGTGGAGACATCCGAACGCATACAGGCAGGAATCACAGCGATGGTAGTGAGCCTGGAAGCAGTTCGAGTACGGCCACCAGAAGATGCAACCGAGCATACAGCCAAAAAGCCAAGAACATCCGACAAGGAGGATGGAGAAGGTGCATCTGGGCCCTCTGTGCATGGGGCCAGAATGTTACAGCCTTTTGCGGCGGCGGGCAAGTAGACCATACGGAGACTTGCCACACGCCAAAAGACATCCTGTGCTTCCAAGATCCATGCCCTGAGCGCGTTGCCATCTGGAATCACAGCATTGTCAAGAAGAACATTTTTGTGCCTGAGTGGAAGGCAAGCTTCACGGCCCTTGATCTGGCGTTTGAATTGGGACACACCAGAATTGAGGGGCCCAGAATCTTTGCTGCCACAAGCAAGTCAAGAAGGTTTTGTCGTCTTCGGTTTTGCACTGCTGTCGACCTCTATGTGGGCCCAGAGGATGATGACAGCATGCAGATGTGGCAACACTCTATAGGCACATCACACAAAAAAGCATCGATTTTTCACAATGAATGGGAAAGTGATCAAACTTCTTTCATGGCTCAACATGTGCCTGGACACCCACCAGTACATGAACGCATCGAAGAGCCTCAACTTATGGACCAACATGGACCAGTTCAACAAGAAGATGACGGTTTTGTGGAAGTTTTGGTTGATGCAGCGTCAGAGCATGAAGAGTCCGAGGCCTCATGGGACTCGGTTGAACCAGTTCGAAGCAACTGGAAAACTGTGCTCATATTTGCGCTACATAGAACATCCTCCACACTCCGTTTGGACTGGTATGATTGGGATCTTGTTCATGACAGTATTGCGAGAGAGCTTTCCCTTTTTCCAGCGGACCTATATCATGTGCATCCAGTACGGCATCCTCCAGAAGACCTTTTTCAAGCTTTTGTTGAACCGGTTGTGGTACAGCGTGCTACGGATCTGTCCCCTGGTTCTCCAGAAAGAATCGTCCTTGTGGATGTGGAGTTTCACTCAAGTCGTGTGGCTACTGTGCCCGAAGTGGTACGACAGGCTAGGGCGATCTTCAATCCGCTTACCAGGACGCAGATTTTGCACCATCTGGGTTTGAAGCCGTACTGTCGTCATGTTGCTGATCAATGTATCATCTGGAAGAACAACGACATGGTTCCTCACAAAGAAGTGCACCTTGACTTTGCACATGGTGATTATCTACGAATAGCGATACCACCTCTAGGGGACAACATGGACTACATCTCCACGCGTTGCCTTGCGACGGCTTTTCATCGGGGAATGTCACTGCAAGATGTCTTCGATAGGCATACCTTGTATGTCCTTGGCTGGCACGACTATGTCATCGATCCTCCGTGGCTTCCTGCTAGTCAAACCAACTATGAAGATGAAGGAGTTCTGCTGATGCAAAGAGCTATGCACAGGATGCCTATGTTGCCTGTGCCACCAAAATGCCTGCAGGATCATTTCAAGCCTGTTATCGGTCAGGACACTTTGACATGCTTGAACGATCGTTTGGAAGATGAGGCAGTTGACTATGAGCCCTTTGTCTACCAACAACAAGGTGAAGAGCAAGAACCAATTGCGCTTGCCCCTGGAGGTATCTTGGACCAACCTGCCACGATACAGGAGCTCTATGGCATTTGGACCGCGCACACGGTTCACACACCTCCAGAGGTGCCAGAGCAACTTGTCATCGCTACCTGGTATCTTGATCTGTTTCGCCATGAAAGCTGCTTGCAATCACGAGAAGTGAGATTGAGCAGAGACTTTCTTCAGTGGACGCAGCAAATCTTCGAAGCATGGCAAGACCACGTTGATCTTGCATGGCCTCTCAACCTCTACCTTGTCAGACCACCTCCACCTGTTACGAGGCATAGAGGGCGAGAAGTTATACATGTCATTGTGGTTCAACGATCGATGGCAGACAGAATGGCAAATCTTATCACAATTGTAGATCCAGGCATACATGAGGGCTTCACTGACATTGCCACGTTTGCGCCGGCACAAATCATCAAGGATGATGTCATCGCAGCAGTCCACTATGACAGCAAGTGTCACCCAGAAAGATCTCATCTGCAATGTATGACATGGCATGGAGATTTTGAACTACGTGGACGAGTAGCATTGCGCAATCGACATGGCCTTGCATTTGTCCTGATCTACAACAATATCTTTGACCAACCCCCTACGAATTTGATGTGGGAGACTGAAGAAATTGATGAAAGCCCTTTTTTGCAAACACGCACAGAGTTGAAGTTGGATGAGCTGATTCCAGCTACCACAGCAGTGCGTCTCCTGTCCACTGTGGGCCCTGGTGTCTTGCCTTCACCTCTAGAAGTTGAACTACCAGGTACTGCAGAACAAGTAGAACGAGAGCTACTACGATGGGGGCATGTTTGTCAGGCTTTCTCGTGTGCGCCGCACAATGCTTTCCTATGTGTGCATGCTGTGATGCCATCCACACAAGATCACATGCATTATTTGATGTGTCATGATGATCCTATGGACCACGATGGATGCATTCTACATAGCTCTCCACATGATCTCTCCCATGGACAACTCATGAGCTTCCTTTGTTCGATTGGTTACCCAAGGGCTGTCATCTTGGAAGTGATCGATCTCAACACAACATGGCGCAAAGTGAGTTTCCACCACAGTGAACCGGAAGTTGAGATCAAGCATGTGGGAACCAGGCAACGCACCGAATGGCCGGAGAGAATGGGACATCAGAGAACCCAGCAAAAACTGACTGAAGTGGCCTCCCATGAAGAACTTAGTGCGAGATGTGCTCTCACTACTAGCTTCAACAAAAAAGATTTGGAGGAGCTTTTCGTATCTGGTTTTGAGGTGCTTTGTACTGATTTCAGTGTACTGGATCTCACGCCAGAACTTCGTTTGGAGCTCAGCCAATGGCAGATCAAACAAGTCTCCCAAGCAAGTGACCTTGACGAGTTCGACAGATTGTTGATCTTTACTGATGGTTCCTCACGCCCTAGCATGAGGCGAGTAGTCCCTGAAAGAGCGGATGACCTTGGTCATTCAGACACATGGGCTATGGTTGTGATCGGGGAGACCTTCAACCACATGAACCCGACTGACTCATCCATCAAAATACTTGGCTGGACGTCGCATCCAGTGAGGCACGATCCAAATGGACGAGCTTACATGGGTACTTCGAGGATGGGATCTGATATTGCTGAGCGGGCAGGCTTGATTGGGGCAGCCATGTGGCGGTTGTCTATCAACCACGCCATTCCCACTATTGTGCGCGCTGATTCAATGCTAGGAGCTGGTCAAGCGAGGGGAACCACAGGCGTTACGCAACCTGATGACTCCTATCATTTTCTCAGGGCGCTATACCAAGCACTTGAATGTGCGTTGCCTCAAGGTGATTTTCTTGTCCAGCATGTTAGAGCCCACACCGGGGATCTCTTCAACGAGATTGTGGACACAGCCGCCAAGCAAGAGGCTGCAAAATCATTCAATTTGCCCCGGCAGAAACTTGATCTGCGGGTGTGGAGAGAAAAATTTTTGCAGTTGTGGACCCTTTTCGGTCATCGACGTGGGCTTCCACACTGGCGAGATGGAGGCTTTGATGTATGTGCTCCAGATCTACCTCCACGTTCAACAGCGAAAAGGGACAAGGCAACACTTGCAAAGTCATCAGGAACTGATATGTCAGTTGTTTGGTTTCAGTGCAGTGTTGCCACGATGAACGTCCAATCACTTTATCGTGGACCTTGTGGACATGCAGGCAAACTGCATTACCTGCAAGCGCAAATGCGATTCTTCCAGCTCCACATAATGGCCATACAGGAAGCTCGGTCTGAAGAAGCCATGACGCAGAATGACAACATCCTGCGTATCAGCACGGGTTGCATCGACAGCATATATGGTGTGGAACTTTGGGTCGATCTGAAGCAGCCCATTGGCTATGAAAATGGTAGCAAAAGCCCCCTCACATTCCACAAAGATCACTTTGTTGTTACGCATCGCGACCCGCAACGTTTGCTTGTCAGATGTGCCACAAAGTATTTTTCCTTTTGGATTTTTTGTGGACATGCACCACATGGAGGACATGCAGCGCATAAGCGCCATCAATGGTGGGAGACCACGCAGCAGATCTTGAATCAGTTTGTGGACACCAAGAATCTCATCGTTTTGATGGACGCCAATGCGGCACCAGGAGCACGAGATGATGTGGTGGTTTTCTCCGAGGGCTTCAGTTCATCGGTCAACACCAGTGACTTTAGAGATCTGCTGACGACGTGGGATCTCTATTTGCCCGCCACCAGTCATGTTCACGTTGGTACAAATGACACGTGGCAAAGTCTGGATGGAAACACCCAACACTGTATTGACCACATTGCGATCCCTCAGAGCTGGTGGCAGTGCTGTACACACTCACAGGTGCTTACAGAGTTTGACCTTGCCACCGCACATGATGATCATCAAGTTGTGGCCCTACAATTGCAATGGGCTGAAACTGCTCTGAGTGCGAAGCAACACAATGATGATGATTCTCTCGCCAAGCCCTGTGCATACGCAGCAGATCCAAGCTATGATGCCGTCATCAAAGCTATCACTGCTCAACCGTGGCAGGTTGATGTTGAAACGCAAGCATTAGACTTCACAGTGCATCTACGTGGCATTTTGCAACAGACAAAGAACCAAGTGCGAAGCAGCCCCAAAAAGCCTTACATTGATGCTGAGACCTGGGCAACTAGAGCAAGCAAGTTGGCTCTCAGGAAACAATTGAGGCAGACTAGAAGGGCCCTGCATCGACAAGCACTTGTGCGCAGCTTATATGCTTGGAGAGCGTGCACGAAGGACAGTGATGAGCAAGAGATTTTTCACTGCAGCTACAACTATGTCACGACGTTGCACTGCTGCAGCATCCGTCTCTATGCACAATATCGCCGGGTCAGCAGAGTGCTCAAACGGCATATTGCTACAAGTAAGAGCAGAGCCCTCCAGTGCACCATGGACTCCATCCAGGAAGACACGCCAGCAGCTGTCATCCTTCGCAAACTCCGTGCTTTTGTTGGACCCAGCAATCCGAAAAAGTACAAGTACAAGCCCCTGCCCATGATCATGAAGGAGGATGGCACGACATGCACGCACATGCACGAAATTACAGAAGCATGGGTGAAGTTTTTCCAGACCATGGAATGTGGGCAAACTATGTCGAAAGATATGCTGAGAGAAGTCTGGATCAATGAGCTTGAGGCATTTGCTCAACAAGACTTGCACAAGGAGCTGAAGGAGATGCCAACGCTGACGGATCTGGAGCTCGCACTGCGCCGTGTTCCTTGTGGACGCTCATGTGGGCCTGATGGCATACCAGGAGAAGTGTGCCGACATCATTCTGCAGCGGTTGCTATGCATCTCTATCCGCAGCTTTTAAAGCTGCTGCTCCATGGACAAGAGCACATTGGCTTTAAAGGGGGCAAATTGACGCCAGCCTACAAAGGCCGTGGAGCGACAAATCGGTGTGCATCGTACCGTTCACTTCTTGTGAGCAATCACTTGGGTAAAGCCCTGCACCGAACGATCAGAGAGCACCATTCTGCAGTTTACCATCAATTTCTACAACTGCAGCAGACTGGCGGTAGGAAGCATGTCCCCGTGCAGCTGGCGATGCACCAATTGAGGGCATTTGTCAGGGTGGCAAAGAGTGACAACCACTCCACCGGTATTCTCTATCTTGATCTGACGGAAGCGTTTTATCGAGTACTCAGAGAGATCCCGCTGGGTGGTGAAATTCCTGATCATGTTTTGGCCCATGTGGTGCACCGACTTCATTTACCCGCTGACTCTCTTCACAGGCTACACGCTATGCTTGCTCAGCCATGTGCATTGACTCAGGCGGGTATACCGGAATCTGATCGACGTGCAATCCAAGCCATACACACAAGCACCCACTTTTGGGTCAATGGACAAACCACTGTGTCCAGAACAGCAATGGGCACGCGGCCTGGCGACAGCATGGCTGATTGGGTGTTTGCTTTCACGTGGAGCATTGTGTTGGACAAGGTCGAACAGTTCATGAGGGATCGACAGATCTTGCGCACCTACCAGGAGCATGAATTTCTGCCCCTTTTTGGCAGGGTCGCCACAACAGATGTTCATTTTCCCTTCATTGGACCGAACTGGATGGATGATCTAGCTCTGTGTGTTCAATCACCAACGCCTACGAAGCTTGTATCGGATATTGGAGCAGTGGCGGGCTTTCTGTTGGACACATGCCATGAACATTGTCTCACGCCCAATTTGTCAGCTGGAAAAACGGAGATTCAGTTGTCTTTTCGGGGTAGAGAAAGCCGAAAGCAGAAGACCAACTTCTACGGGCCACAAGCTCCGCAGACCATGCATGTCGTGGGAGAAGAGAAGACACACAACATTCGTGTTGTACGCAGATATCGCCATCTTGGAGGAATCTCGCACCACACTGGAGAACAAATTGCTGAGCTTTCTCAACGTGCCGCCATGGGTCATCAAGCACTGAACCAGCACAGGAAGATGTTGTTTCAGAACGATCGCATTGCACTTGGCAAGCGCGCTGAACTGTTTACTATGCTTGTATTGTCGAAATGCCTCTATGGAGCAGACTCATGGGTCTTTACCAACCAGAAGACAGAAAGGAGATTCCACACCATGATCATGAACCTCTACAAACGTCTGGCCAAAGTACGACCCGACCAACATTTGACAGATGATGAGATCTTGGTACGAGTCGCCCTTCCTTGCCCTGCTGTCTTATTGGCAAGGGCGCGATTGCGCTATTTTGCCACATTAGTGCACACTGGGCTGCCAGACATCTGGGCACTTTTTGCTGGGGACACGGCTTGGATAGCCCTTTTGGAGAAGGACCTGATCTGGATGTGGACGCAGCTTCAACATGCATCCGCACTGCCAGATCCGAGCACACACTTCGAACAGTGGCTTTATCTGATCCAAACATCGCCGAGATACTGGAAACGTTTGGTGCGTCGTGCATGTCATCATAGTGTCCTTCAACGACAACGTCGACATCAAGTCTGCGCCTTGCACCTTCGAGTGATGCCTCGTTTGTGGACTCTGGTTGACAGACAAGAAGCAAATCAGCAGATTCCTGACCAAGCATTTTCGCAGGTTTTTGGATGTATGAAATGCCGCATGCGCTGTCGCAACGCTGCCGGTGAAGCAGCGCACATGTGCAAGGCCCACGGCATCACCTCCAAACTGCGATCTTTATTTGATCACCCAACGTGTGGGGCCTGTCTGAAGCACTTTCATACAATGGAAAAGCTCAAGGCACACCTGCACTATAGCCAAAGATGCCGTACCAAGCTGCAGAGCAGAGCATTTCGCTGTGCTCCGGCACCTGGAGCTGGATCGGCGTGGGACGCACAGAGGGTGCAGCAGCATGATCGCCTGCTGCCTCCAATTCAGAGCCAAGGACCTCATGAACGTCCTGGTAGACTCAGGCAAGAACTCGATATTGACGGAGAATGGCACCAATTCATGGTTGATTTGATCTGTGAAGAGACTGACGTCATGGACATCAAGGCCAAGTTTTTGGACCATCTGAACGTGCGGGCTATCTCATGGACATCTTTGCAGCGGACATTGCGCTTCTTCATCGACACCCTTTCGGAGGACGATGCTGATGTCATTGGCTTTGACCTCATGGAGATGCGTGCGCTTTTCGAGGCCCTGGGCAGGCCGGATCAATGGGACTTTCTGCAGATGCAGTCCATTAAGCAGGAAGAGATCACCATTGACACGCTGGCCGCTGAATGTGAGGATTTGACTGACCACCTGCTTCAGCAGACTGTGGAGATTGTGCCAAGAGTTTTTGGCAAACACAGGGTGTTGCTGCACGCTTTCTCTGGGCGACGTCGCCTCGGAGACCTGCAGTACTATATGGAGCAGCACGCACAGCAGCAAGAGGTCTACATCCTCCACATTGTCTCTATGGACATCATCGTGGACAAGGTCAAAGGGAACGCAATGGATCAGAAGACATGGGATTTCTGGGTTGATGCGACCAGGCAGAAGCATGTCATTGCATTCCTTGCGGGACCGCCGTGCGAAACGCGGTCTTGTGCTCGAGCTGTGGCCGTTGATTCTGCCCCAGACTTCACGCAGCCGAGGGTGATTCGCACGATGGAACATCTTTGGGGGCTTCCGTGTGTTAGCATTAAGGAGCTTCTGCAACTTTTCACTGGAAACACGTTGCTTGGGTTTGCCCTGGTGATGTTTGTTGAAATTTGCATGAGCAATGGCTTCGCTATCTTGGAGCACCCATCGGAATCACCATGGGACGAGCAGGCAGCGTCGATTTGGAAGCTTCCTTTGATTGCTGCGCTTCTTGCACTCCCCAACGTACAGAAGATCAGTTTTTCGCAAGGACTCCTTGGAGCTTTTGCTCGGAAGCCTACGAATCTCCTGGTCGTGAACCTTCCTCAACTCATGCTGGACCTTCATGCCTGCCGGGTGAGAACGGAAATTCCGCAGGCGGCAGCCATCGGCAAAAATGCTGATGGCAGCTGGAAGACAACTAGGTTGAAGGAGTATCCGCCAGCCCTCTGCTGGGGAATGGCGATGTCTTTTGCTCGTGGTCTTGCACAGACCAGTTGTGACCCGAGCGTGCCGGAACCTACACAGGAGCAACTAGCCTTGTATGTTGCCATGGATGTAAAGACATATGGCAGCACACTTGGTGCAGATTTCGCTGGTGCCCTGTAGGATTTCAGGCCGAATTCACATGGACTGGCCGCAGCATCGAGCTTCAGTGGGCCGAGGGAAAAAATATATGTATACATATTTATATAATACATATCTATATGATATGGTTGTCATCGAGACCGAGACCTGAAGGGGCAGAAAACAACTGGGGAGAATGAAAAGAGAAACCATGGGAGCTCAATGATGGGATGCAATGATCCAGGACTTCTGGGGGAAACACCGAAATGTGATGGAAATGATAGTATCCCATGTCTTCCAAAAAATGGGATGACCATTGAAATTGGCATGATATATATATATATTATATATATAACATATATTATATATAATATATATTATATATTATATTATATATATATGATTCCCCATTGAAATGACCATCCCATGGGACCCCAAAATAAAGCCGACCTCCCATCCCCCGATGGATTGCAGAGCTGCTCCAGGCCCTCAGGATCTTCATCCTGCCATCCAAAGGTCCTGTCATCAACCGGTAATGCATGCAACCGGTCATAATATGTACTTAATGGTGTATATATATATATATATACATACATTATATACACATAATTACATTATATATGTAAATAATTGTAAATACAATACATCTATACATATATATATATATGTATCCTTATATCCCATCATCAGCCCGCTGTCCTGTATGTGATGGGGCTGGCAATGGACGTCACTCGGCAGGGCCGCGCTTCAACGGTTCCACCACCTGACGGAGTTGAACTTGAAGATGTAAGAATTCAGAATCATCTTTGTCATGAATAATACATCTTTTATATGTATATACAGTAATTATACATACATATATATATGTGTGTGTGTCATGTTATATATATATAATTATATATGTGTGTGTGTGTCATGTTATGCATAATCAATTCCGGGAAAAAACGTTCATGTATGTTCATGTCATTTGCTCTCCTTAAAACCGTGTACCAACAACGCCAACACCCAAAACCTGGCGGTGCATCGGCGGTGAAGCGATTGGATTTGCTCAAGGTAAGTCCCAAGCCGAAGAGCTCTGCAAAGCCATAGCCTTGGACGACCGACCAATGGACCAAGGGCCGAATTTGCTGAAAAAACCAGGGATTGTTTAAACTTGAAACCATCAAAGGGTCCGGAAAGGTCCGGAAAATCGCTGGATATCCAGGAAAGCTCAAGTTACTTTCAAGAAAAATGGCAACCCATTCTAAAGCATTGGATGGAGATGGTGAAAATGGCATGCGATGTCAACAGAAACTTCACTTCCAAAAAAAAATGATCATCCAAAAATTTGGGGCGTTACCCTCAAGTGTCGCTGAACAATGCAGCAGCACCCCGGAATGCAAAAAGGCCACTGGTAAATGATGCCGGAATCCCTGCGACGCCATAGAAGTACTGCTCCCCGGAGATCATGGCGAAGTCGTGAAAATTGGAGGTGCTCATTACCAGGGTCTGCCTCAATCTGAAGCCCTGGTGTCACTGGACTGTGTACCAGATGTGCTTGAAGAATGTCTGACACAAAAAATGCCAGGTGTACATCAAAAATAATGCCAAATAACGGTTTAATGTCAGCCGGGCCCAGCTTTCGGTTCAAAATGCAATCTTTGGCACTAATCGGGTCTACAGAAAAAGCCAATGCGCTTTGCAACTTCCAAGATCAGCAACAAAGATCTGAAATCCATCCATCACCCAGAAACCCATCGCTCATAGCCCCAAAATCGGCCACCACATCTTGATTTCGATCTTCCAACAGCAGCCATCGCCAGGACCAGGCCGATAAATTCTCTACCAGGCAATCAGGTGAGCTGAGACCGATGCGGGCTGTGATGTTCCTCAAGGGCCAGGGGCTTACCATCGTTGTTGGTGGGATCAACCCGCAGATCCACAAGACTTGGGGCACTTTCAAGTTTCAAGTCATGTTTGCCTCCTTGAAAAATGGCCCCAAACGATGCACCAAAGCACCAACAAGGTGGGTAGTGCTTGGTAGTGAACCATCCAAATGTTTTTAGCCTCTTTGGGAGTGAAAACCCTAGCTGTTGCTGGCCTTTTATCCCAGTTTGGTGGGTGAACACGTCCAAATTTCCCCAGCTTCAGCGCCCAAGACACGTGGAATCGGCTTCAGTGGAGACCCGATCCCCCGGCAGCCAGGAGGATTCGATGGAGACCATTGGCATGGCTTGTGCACCCACGAACCTCGGGAAAGGATTCTTTGGCAAACCATTGAGTGAGTTTGGGGAAAAGACATGTCCTTCGGAGAGGATATGCTGATTGATGTTCGATCTCTTGAAAAGGAAACTAAGGAAGGACCACATCACTCTAATCATTTCACCCACTGACCATGCAAGGAATTCACAACATCATCTCCGCGCTGCTTCAACTTCTGCGATGGCCAGACAAAGATCAGACTCCAATGGAACGGGGAAACCACGACTTGAACTAACCGTGAAGTGATCCCATGAAGAGATGATAGGGCCGAGAGGGTATGTGGAGCATTGTGGAGCATTGTGGAGCATTGTGGAGCCAAGAAACAGCTGAAATTGCGTTTCCCCCGAGTGGTTGATCGTTTCAGCTCGTCTCCAGAGTTGCAATTTGACCACGTAGCGGCCCAAAGGAAAGGTGCCAGCAGCAACATCCAGGTCAACTGCCCCTCAGCGGTTGAAGCTCATGCCCCTTGAAGGCATGGGTCATTCATCTGGGACTAGTGGGGAATATGGGTTCCAAGTTCCAAGATTGGTACCAGTCCACATGCACTGCTCGTTTGGGGGGGCAATTCACGCAAAAGTTCGTACGTAGTTCCAGACACCCCAAGTGGCTATGGAGAAATTGGGCTCCTCAGAGTGGGGGAACCTCTGGAGATTTGAGGCCTCATGAAGCTCAATTGTCAGTGTCAAAGTTGGGCACCCAAAGATTGTGGGTTTGTAGGATTATTGGGGGTACCCCAGTCCATCTGTGGTCCCAAATGGGAACTTAATTCTTGATCAATCCCAGCTGGAGGGTCGTAGCATTCTTGATGCTGTGATTCGCTGCGTGATATGTTCCAAACTCATCGGTTTCGGTTCCCACTCCGGTCTCAAATTAGAATCTCAGACCCTTCCACCTCAGCGGATGCAATCCCTGAATTTCCAACCTGCTTCGTAACTGGGATTCAGTAGGTTCTACCTCGCCATTTGTCTTGTTTCAACCTCTTCGTAACAACAAAAATGAGTTCCCATCATTTCAATCGCATCAGGAGCACCCAAAAACCTCGCCCAGCGACGTAGCTGCGTCAAGAGATGCGACATGTCCTGGAGGCTTTCGGCGTCCCAAACGCTCCAGGCATAGAAGAAATCTACGGCACTGGCGCTGGAGACCTGCGCTGGCAGCGCAGTTGGGGATGGGGAAAAAAGGTGAATTCAATGAGAAAAATGAAGGATTTAAACAACAAAACTGCAGATTGATATGCAATACTTGTTTAACTGCGGATTGAAATAAATGGACAGATCTATAGTTAGATGTCTTTAAACATTTATACACCAACTCAAAACTAGAGGGAAAGTGCTAAAACCCCATATCCAATTCTGAGTTACATCCCAAATAGCATTGGGTTATTTCATATTATGATTTTTACCCCACTTGATAAGTGCGACATCGAAGTAGCTGGACATAGTTTTTTGGAACACCGATTTCTGTGGTCCTGCCTCGGGAGCTCCGTAGATGTTTTGATTGTTAATACATTATGGATATCTAAAATAGCTTTGGAAATTGGCTATTTACAGATGATGCACATGATGATTTACCCATAAAGAGGTGGGTTTTTCCAGTTCGCGACGCTAAATAGCCAGAGGTGATATTCCAATCTTATCACTATATAATACATATATATATATATGTTATAGTAATCAGAAGAAGAAGATAATAATAATAATAACAATAATTATAATTTCATATGATCATGGATGATATACCCATGATCTTTCCACGATATTCCCATTCCAATGTGCCCCTGCCGGCCCGAAATTGGCCACGTGAGCCACGTCACGTCTCGCGACTTCCGTGCGCTCAGAGTGAAGCGACAGCTCTGCGACACCACATGGGGACCAGAGACGATCGCCACTGGCCTCGTGACACCCACTGTGCCGCCGGAGCCAGCGCCGGCATGGAATCTTTATTCATGACATACATATACTGTATATATCTGTATATAATTATCTATCTAATTGTAGATCTTATTATGTAATCATATAAATACATATATACACAATTAGCATGACTAGCATAATTCTGGGATTGGTATGGTTTCAATCTGACAAAAGTATGATGAAATCAATATTCAAATTATACAAATTAGCAAATGAAGCATCTTCGTGACCCCAGCCATCCACATGTGCTCCAATGTGCAGGGCCTGCGCTTCGGCAAGATATGCAGGGGGAAGAGCAAAGATGTGTTTGGGCTGAAGGTCTCCTATCGTTCAAGGTGCCATGGATTTTGGTGAATCTTAGATGAACCAGTGGATTTGGGGCTTGAACGTCTCCATCACTACTGAAGAAATTCGCTTCTGGGCATATTGACTATTCCAAGCATGGCTCAAAGGTAGAAACTCCAACACAATTGAGGCCAAGTGTACAGCCAGGTCCTCATACGATGCAGTCACCATAATTTCATGGTTTGTTTCTGCCTGTGGCACAACGGACGGAGTGTGACAGTGAGCTATTTTGGCTTCTTCCAAAACTGGGTACTTTACCAAAATTGATCAAAATTGGCCATTCAAATGGAATATGGGGAAAATGATGATCATCTGTTGGAATTGGAGGTACCCTATTTTCTGCCCAAACCATTCGTATATTTGGGTGGCTGCAATGCACTGCATTTACCTGGGATCTCATGTCAGACCACACAACTTGCCCCCGTTTGTAGGCTAAATTCCCCTGGAATTTAGTCTTCAATCCCATTTTTTTTCGGGCCAATCAAAATCTTTGACATCAGCATCTTGGATTCTTCAATAACCATGGGACCATGTTTGGTCAGCCATTTTGGGATGAAATCACCATGGCTAAATCCACCATCTTTTTTTCGCCGTCGCACCGTCGCGCCTGGAACGTAAAGGCGTTGAGTCTCACCACCGAAGGTCTCGAGTCCAGATCCACCAGAGCAGTCTCCAAGAGTTGCCAGGCACAGCCCTAGCGAAAAAACGAGCTGCGAAGTAAACCATCAAATAGTTATCATAAACCATCAAATAGTTCTAATATTATATAATATATGATCTAGTTTTTCAAGAAATTATCCACCCACCCATCAATCGATCGATCTATCCATCTGTCCATCTGTCCATCTATCGACCCATCGACCTATCCATCTATCGATCCATCCATTCATACATCCATTGATCTGACTTATCCCCCCGCAAAAAGGTGACAGAAACACTACCTGTTTCATATTGTTTGGCTCGAGGTTGGGATCAATGTGGGCTTCCATCTATAATTTACATATATATATTATTTTAATATACATGTATGTACGTATGTATAAATGCAAGCTGTATGTTTCCGATCTGTCCTGGAAAGCAGATGGATGCACTGTCAGAGTCGACTTAGTCTGATGGAGGAATGCATTCTTTGGGGAAAGAATGCATTCTCTCATGGAACCAAGAACCAAGAACGCATATTCCCCCAAGACTCTCTGTGTAATCTTAAGTTCTTGGTTCTTAATTCTAGGCATTCTCTTGTGTACCATCCTGCAAGATTTTGCCACTTACCAACTTGGTGCCCTGAAGCTGTCATGAAGTTTTTGGGGAATCTTGGTTCTTGGTCCTGAGGTGGATCGCAACTGGACAAGATCGCAGTCTTCAATAGAGTCAATGTATGGGTATAATCCTTATTTGCCCTTTGGGCTGTTCAGATTTGTTCTGTGTCCATCTTCATTCAGGCAAAAAAACTGCATCCACAGTAATCACATTGATTGACAATACTATACGAAGCCACTGCATATTCACATGCCATTCTTTGAGCGTTTCTCTTTTCGTCTTGTTGTCCTGTAGTCAGATTTATTTTGTTCACAATAAGTATAACTTGTCATAGTTTAAATTTCCCGGCCTGATTTTCCGGTTTACCTGATTTCGCTGGAAATACGTTTACATGTATCATCTGAGTCTGATATTTACCTGATTTCGCTGGAAATACGTTTATATACATGTATCATCTGAGTCTGATATGCTAATCTTTGCACCAGCTGTGTTAGTTGTATATCTAAAACGTGGTTCGATGAGTTTATTCGTAGAAACGTTGTGTCTAAAACTAAAAGATATGTGCTTGTTTAACTTGTCCTTGTGATCCTGTGTATTTGCTATCTGGCCTTCTTCAACAGTATGCTGTTTGTCAAAACACAAAAAAAAACTCTCAATGATAAAGTCTGCATATATTTCATATTCTTCTGTCTTTGTCAGTGGGTGAATTGGTTTTACCTGTTATGTGTCCCCCGTCGAAATAATTGGTTTGTTGTACTTGCTTTATTCAACAAGTTGTCTTATTCTCCAGTCGGTGCTCAAATTGGAAAAGTACATCTCATCAAGGACAAAGAACCTTGTAGTCATAGTCTGAATGGTCAAACGGTTCCAACTTAACATCACCTAAAGTTTTACCCTAGTATATTAAATGTGAATGATTCTCTTCAAATGCTTGTCATAGCCTAACCTTGCAACTCTTGTCAACCCTTCTTTGATAAACGTAAATAGATTTTGCCAGTACCTGGCAATTCACCTTTTATGATCATTGTCGTTTCCTGGACAATTTTTATGATCTCATAGACAGCTTCTCATTTTTTCTACACCTGATTATCCTTGACATCATGATCATAATGGTGTGTTCACTCATTCACTACCAGTATCTGTAACTTGTTTTGTGGGTTCAATAAAATATCATTATCAATTTTGCTGATCCTCCATCCTCCTATGTCATCATGAAAGTCCAACAATTCTTTTGCTTTTCTAGAGTCTGAGTGTCAATTACAAAGGCAGCAGTTTTGACAGTCTGAATTGACATAATGTTTTTGTATAGGTTATGATATATACATTATGAGATTCAGAATCGGTTGATTTATCAATTGTTCTTTTATGTCCTTCATCAGCTGACTCAATATGAGTTGTGTTTAATGGTGTTTGCTACCGTACTAAATTTGATAGTCCATTGCTTCAGTCATGTTTTGTATGTTTGTTTGGTCAGTCAGTAGAACCCCCTTTTTCCAATAACCCAATGATTACATTAGCATGTTTTACTCTATATATATATACACACTGCAAATGTATACAGATTCTCTTCATGTTCACTGATTTTCAATTTATTCAGTTCTTTGACTAGTGTACTGCTTCAAACATCTTGGTCAGGAACAATTGTAAATCCAGAGGGGGTACCAACAACATCTTCACATTATGGAATTTCAAAATTTTATATGTAACAAAAAATAACAAGAACAACCTGAAAATTTGCATTTGGCCTCAGCGCCGTGCCCATTTTGTAAACTTGTGACCTTCAATCTGCTCAGATCACAACAGCCTCTGGTTATATGTTTAATGGAAAAGAAGAAAAAAACGGGAAATACCACTGAAATATAGAAACGGGTAGGTTTGTTGTGGGGGGGGTTGCATATTTATTGATCATCATTTATTGTTCATTTTTTTATTTCATGTATCTAAATCTATCTATGTATTGAATAATTATATGATAATATATGTCTGTGAAGTTGCCACATTTCCACCACAACGGACTCACCCTTGGTGTAATCGCGCCTCACATCGGTACTCCCAGCGCAACATCACGGGCCTCGCATCGAGGCCTGGGAACGGTGTGAACCCGAACGGCCGTTGTGTTTCTTGGGGGGGATCCAGTTTGCACGTCCCATCCAATGATGATGAAATGGTGATTTAATGGTGTTTAATGGTGGTTTAATGGTGTTTAATGATGATTTAATGGTGTTTAATGATGATTTAATGGTGTTTAATGATGATTAATGATGATATAATGGGATCGAATGGGATTGAATGGGATTCTTAATGCTGATGTAAGGATGATTTATTGCATGCGGTATCACTGGTGATCATGATGAGATTTGTCAACCACAATACATGTCAACCCCTCATTTTTCATCAAACCTATAATTGTCGCTGGGGGGGCCCTTTTTTTTACTGCGAATCTATGGCACTCATGGTACCCACTAAAATTCTGCTGGAAGACAAGGTGAAATCTCCACTTCGGCTTCCCAGTCGTCCATGGTCTCAATCTCCGAGGGAACCTTCGATTCGACCACAGGCACTGGGCCACACGCCTCGGGCCATGGCCATATACAATCCATACAAGGACCTCTAGATCAACTGCCATATGTATGTGTGTATATACATCTCTCTCCGAAGCGCTATGCAGCTCCGATTGAGCCAAACGTCCGCAGCAGCGCACCCAAAAGTGGTTGACTACTTCAATTTCGGGGCGAGAAGAAGTGTGTAGGAAAAGTAGAGGATAATGGTTCTCTTGGGAAACGCTGCTAACTTGCACCTTATACGCAGAACCCGATGGAATGGGCAAGGTGGGACCCATCCATCGAGGGCGTTGAGAAAACAATTCACGATAACCAGGACGATTTTGTCGGTGAAGTAAAATAGTTTGAAGTCTACGAGTACGGGCTGTTTCGGATCCAATATTCTGATGTGAACGGATCCGCGACGCACGGCAGGGTTCGTGACCACGTCTGACGTTGAGGAGGCAAATTCTACTGGAAGGAAAAGAATGATCTTTTAGAAGGACCGTGGTCCCCCGCCAAGCCTCTGGCGGCCCCTGCCAGCTTTAGCTTCTCATGGAGTAAAATGTGACTGCGTCCGGTAAAGGAGTGGTACCGCCTCTGGCCCCTATTGGGGATCTGAAATTTATCTCTAGGCCTACGCTGAAAAACATGAGCAAATTGCCAGTAGGCTACATCGGTGAAACAGGTGCAAGCTGAACTCAGGTGCGTCAGCTCATTGTTGGTGTAGGGCCGCAGGGGCACATGCCAAGAAAGATGTCTGGAAGAGATATGAGTTGTTGATGAAGCTGGTAAGCTGATCCACTATGTAGTCGAACTCGAGGATATTGGTCAACTCAAATGAAGAACCTAGGAGAGTTCCTCTCGTTCTTGCTGAAGTGGAGATGGTAGTCACAGAGGGGGCATCGTCTTTGTACGATGTGTGTTGCATCGATGTACATCTGTGGTGAGACCTGTGTCGATCTGGTAGTGATGGAAGAGCTGCTGAATACTTATGGAAAGTCCAAGTGCTAATCTGGGTCCTTGTTCTCCATGTAGAAAGATATTCCAATCGAGGTTGTTCACTGTAAATCCTGTAGGTGGTAGTCCTCGACGTAGGAGTGCTTTGTTGTCAATCGTGGATTCCAATGTCTTCAATCTGGCATCCATGGTGTCGATCTGAATGTGAGTGTTGTACTGCTCGAGGATGCTCAAGTGTTGGAGTTTCGACCTGTTGAAGGTCAGTGAAAGGTCACTTCTTGGTGAGGTCAATCTTCTGGAGTTTGCCTTGTCAGGGTCGAAGCGAAGTGCTTCTGGAGAGGTGAGGTTGAGGGCAAGGAAGTCTGCTCTGGCTTGAGGTGAATGAAGATCGAAGTTCCTGTTGGAGTCCAAAGTCCAAGCCTGAGGGCTCTACATCCTTAGCTGATAGTGCAGTGAGAAACTCTTCCCATCCTTGGTCTGTTCTGGGTTTGCTTGCAGGAGAAGACTCTCTGGTAGTAGCTCAATGTTGCCTGATAAGTTCAAGTTCTTCTGCAATAAGGGCCTCAGCGGTAGTAGGTGATGTAGTCAATGTGGCTTGAGGAGGGTGAGGTGGAGAAGCTTCAGGTAGTTCTTGAGATTCTTGGGATTCTGGCTGCTTAATATCCATGGCTTCAATTAGGAATTGCCTCAGTAAATGTGTTTTGTAAATTAAACATAGTAGCAAGAGAGGGCACAGCCCAATCAACATGAGGTCGATAAAAGAAAAGGGCATGAAACTTGGGGCATGCAGTACCAATTGGCACGACAGCATTGCTGACTGTGTGGCAAAAGCTAAAGTTCGTGCCAAATGCCTTGTGTATGTACATATATATATATATAATACATCTATTTTGTATGCGTATACCCATATACATGCAGGCACCCAACTTCAACCCCATCACCAACTCATCATGTGAGACAAAAATGGTCAACAATACCTTTTTTCATTTCCACCAGGTCAACTGGACTCAACAAGCCAGCACAGCACAGGCCAAAAACATGAGCAAACTACAAAAAAAACAAGATTTTAACTATGAGAAGCAAAAAACACATGGATGTCCCAAGCTGATCCTCTGAAGCACGCCAGGAAGCAGGGAGCCGATCCATCAAAAGGTGACTCTCCCAGAAGTCATCGACCTGAAGAACCATTGGAGGAATACCTAACAAATACAGATTTGGGGGTACCAAATTGCGTACCCGCGGTACCCCAAAATCGAAAACTCCACCTGGTGTTCATCCTATCAAAATGGCCATAAACCAGTACCGAATCCTCGTTTTGCGACAACTCCATGTGGTCAATGAAAATTTCAAAGCAGTCATATAGGATGTCCCATTTCAACATTATGAAATATCAACCATTTTTCACCAAACATAGATTTCGTAGATTGAATACATTGTTTATTCCACAAATCAACCCATAGATTCAAAAATATTGTTTCTTAGATCACATTAGATCGTTATAAATTACAATGTATTATATAGATAGAACCATAGATGCCATGCATCGTGGCCAATTTTTTGAACACCAAGGTGCGGTGGCAGTCGATGACACCAACATGTTCGTGCTGGACACCATCCTCAGAGAGCAATCCTTCCACTGAAGACGGTTCCAGTTGGGGGCCACGGCATGGTGACAAGCATAGCGTTCGTCCAAAATCGGGGATTTCTCGAACATGTTTAAAGTGAGTTTCTTTGATTTATCCATCAAAATTGGGATTAAGCCAGCCATCGCGTACAATGGGATTTGTCGGGACTTGACATGGTTCAACCATCAATGGCTATATAATTGGGCAATGAATCACCCAAATGGGTGTGTCCACAAAAAAATAGGGGCCACAAAAATGCTGTAGTGGAGTGGGAAAAGGGTTTCAGCCATCGGATGGATTTCTCGGTCGACATGTTGGGAACCCACACATGAAGTCAACTTAAAAAGAAGCAAATGACTAAAAATAGTATCGAGTTGAAGCCACAACCAGCTTGCGACCTTTGAACCACACTCGCTGCGAGCCTCTTTTTACAGCTCCGCGAGTTGCATGGAATTCACAGCTGTGTTGTGCTCCTCGTGCTCGCGTGGAGCTGCGGCGGCCAGAGCGGCTTTGCGCGGGAAATAGTTCATGGCATGACTCACCATCTGAAGGCAAGAGAGAAGAGTGCCGAGGCGGGTTTCGATCACAGAGTTCATCCAGAAAGTTGAAGGGATGAGGTTGAAGCCCACAAAAATCAAAGTCACAGGCAGACAAATGAAGGGATGAGTGCCAAAGTTCAGAAGCATCTGCATAGAATACAATTGCTGGGAAACGCAAAAACCATACAAACTTCGAGCAAAAGAATAAAACATGGGATCGTCGCGAGGGTGAGCACTTCGCAAAGCTACAACCCAGTCAAGTAAAAGCATAGTGGCGGGCAAACAGCCAAACATTGCCATTGCCACGTCGACCGCGCAAGATTTGCGCAAGAAAGGCACCAAAGAAATGCACGCAAGTCCAAGAAAGGGTGCTGCCATGGTGCATGTTGGCAAATGATTCTTCCAGTAGTGAAAGCTTCCATCTGAGTCCTGCTGCTTTTTGATCCAAAGCACCCAAGCCCAAAAGAACCAGTTGTTCACCCCTGCCACCAGCACCAAGCAGCAGGCTCCCAAAGACCTTCTGAAAGGATCAGCTATGTCCGACCTGTCCGATGTGGCTGTTCGTTGCTCCGCTGATTCCGTCGCTTCCATCACAGCTAAATATGTCTTCACTCGAAGCGTGAAATCCCATGTGAAGGCCACAAGGCAGATCCATGCAGAACTCAGGGAATAGAGTTCCAACGGAAAGTACACTGGATCGAATTCGAAGTGATCAGTTTCTGTGCTCATAAAAATAACCCAGAAAACGCCGAAAAGGTTGTTTGGCAGGAGGGCCAGGGGATGTACACTACAATTCAACAGTAGCACCAGGGCGTAGACGCTGCCTAAACTGCTGGCCACCCAATAGTCTTGGACCATGGTCCATGTGCTGATCGTGGCTCCCAGGGCAAACAGCAACGAACCGCTGAGGCTCTCCCAACTTGACGTGTAAAAGAACCACAGACTTGCGACCCAAAAATACCACACCAAGATCAGCGCAAGGGGGAGGATGGTTGAGTCACTAAGTTCAGGGTCCAGGTACGACACTGTTCCCCCTCTCAAAAATGTGGCATCCAACCATACCACGAAGGTGACCACCATGAAAGTTCCGCGCAGTACCCTGCCGAGAGGAAAGCGAACCCAAGGGCTGCTGAGAACCTGTGGCGGGCACTTTGGGTTTGAAGAAATAGGGGCCATTGCAGAGACAATCATTCGGTATACGTCAGGTATCTCAAGAAAAACCAGATGCAGCCCACAAACCCGAATGCTACCTCATATGTTAATGGTACGGGTGCCGAAAAACATAGAGAAAAACCTCATAAAATCCCCAGGTTGCAACCAATGTTGTATCTTCGGCAAAGCATGACTGTGCGATAAGGACGCAGCGTGTAAAGTTGAAAATCTAAAGTGTGAAGTGCAAAGTGTAGAGTATAAATTGTAAAGTGTGAAGTGCGAAAGTGTAAATTGTAACATGTAAAGTGTCTAGTGTAGAGTGTGGAGTCTGAAAAGTGAAGTGTAAGGTATAAAGTGTGAAAGTGCAAAAATTGTACAGTGTGGGCTAAAAGAGTAGAGTGTGGGGATTACTAACAGTGTACAGTGCACTGTGTGAAGTGTAAAAGTGTAGTGTGTGGAGTGTAAAGTGTAGAGTGTAGTGTGGGGTGTGGGGTGTCAAGCATAGAGTGCGGAGTGTCAAGTGTAAAGTGCGGAGTGTAAAGTGTAGAGTGCGGAGTGTCAAGTGTAGAGTGTGGAGTGTGGAGTGCATGGTATAAAGTGTAGTGCGTGAAGTGTAAAGTGGAAACGTAGAGTATGGAGTGTGGAATGTAAAGTGTGGAGTGTAAAGTAGAGTGTGGGGTGCCAAGTATAAAGTCTAGAGTGTGGGGTGTCAAGTGTAAAGTGCGAAGTGTAAAGTGCAAAGTGTGGATTGCAGTGTAGAGTGTGGAGTGCAAAGTGTAAATTGCAAAGTGTAAAGTGCAGAGTGTGGAGTGTAAAGTGTAGAGTGCGGAGTGTCAAGTGTCAAGCGTGAAGTGTAAAATTTCAAAGTGTACAGTGTAGAGTGTGGAGTGTAAAGTGTAAGTGCGGAGTGTCAAGTGTAAAGTGTGAAGTCTAAAGCATAGAGTGTAGAATCGGAGTGTAAAGTGTAAAGCGCGGAGTGTGAAGTGTAAAGTGACGAGTGTAAAGTGTAGAGTGTGGAGTGTTATGTGGAAAGTGTGAAGTGTAAAATGTAGTGTGTGGAGTGCAAGTGTAAAGTTTAGAGTGCGGAGTGTAAAGTGTAAAGTCTGGAGTGTGGAGTGTAAAGCGTAGAGTGCGGAGTGTCAAGTGTAAAATTGGAGCGTGGAGCGCCAAATGTAAATTGTAGAGTGTAGAGCGTGGAGTGTGGACTGTGAAGTATGGAGTGTAAAGTGTAGAGTGTGGAGTGTAAAGTGTCGAGTGTAGAAGGTCCTAAATATTGCGCCTGCCACGCAACTTGATATTTCACTCACGATGGATCTGCACCAAATGTTGCGCCCCCTACGCAAAATGAACTCTCACGATGTCCCACGCCTGCCCACAATTTGCACATTGTCACCACTTGACGCAGCCCTGGCCATTCGATTCGCACAAAACACGCAACACCACACGCGCCAGCCACGCAAAATGATCATGGAGGTCTCCAAGCTGCTGCGCCTGTCATGAAAAATGTAACTCATCTTCTGAAAACGACGCAAAAGTATTGCGCATGTGTCACACAACGTCAATTTTCAACGCATCTCATAAAATGCCACGCCTGCCACGGAAGTTGCACGTTGTCACCGCCTGACGCAGCCCTGACAATGCAAATCGCTAAAACATACAGCACCACACGTCTAAAGTGCTGCCTCTGCGTGGCATGACGATGGAAGTCTCCAAAGTGCTACGCCTGCCACGAAAAATGCAAGTCATCTTTTGAAAACGATGCAAAAGTAGTGTGCCTGTCACTGCCTGTCACATTGAACGATTTTCGACGCGTTATGAAACATGTTGGAATGTCACAAAGTGCCACGCCTGCCACACGAAACAAGGCACAACGTTCAAGACCTCTAAAAGGAACCACATTTTGCAGCACTCCCCATAGGCACGGCCATAGCGACCTCACGAACGCTTGCGACCGGTTGCGAACGGTTGCGGGCGCAAACGCGGCGTCTAGCGAACACACCCTCAACCCCCAAACACCCACAGTGAAACGGGAACCCCTGCTACTCATTCGGGAAATCTTGCCACCAGAAAGGCACATGTGGAGCAGTGGTCTCTTCCCACCATTTCGCAGCTGCACGGCCATGGCAACTCCCCATGGCGACGCCGGTCGCTTTGGACCGTGGATCACTTTGGACCGCTTTCGCTTTGGATCCTGAGCCACATGCCTTCAGTGCTTTCAATGCCTTCAGAGTTCACAATTTATCCAGTCAACTTAGTGAACTTGACCCTTTTTGACCTTGTTTTATCTTCACACCTTTACACATTTTTTTGATCAAAAGTCTGCACCAAAGGCACTGAGGAAGGTCAGTAGGCAACCCCATTCTGGAGCTGGACGTTGAGCTAGTGGACACTGTGGACGTTGTGGAGATTGTGGACATCGTGGACGTTGTGGGCGTTGGGGATGCTGTGGATGTTGTGGATGTTGTGGAGGTTGACAGACTCCAGGTGGTTGAAAGGGTTGAAGTGCTGCTGGCAGTCGAAGATGTTGAGGTCGTCTGGCCTCAGAACCAGAAAAAATCTGGAAGTGAGAATATGTTCTAGAAACTGACATGTTCAGTATGTTCATGAGAGTCTTCCATTGTTTGTTAGATACCTTTAGATTCCCCGGAATTGGGTTTTGAGATGGCGTTTTCACTGCCATCTCGGAGCCAGTCTTCAGCAAAATGGTCCACCCATTTACAGGAAGCAATTATCTCGTTGTACCAGTAGTACCGCACAAGGCGGTGGCGGAAGTTTCACCTATAGGAAACTAGAGGAGAGGTGAGTTGTTGTGATGCATGGATGGCAGAGCGAATCCACTGATGGACCGAAAGCTGGTTGGAGTTGGGTTTTTTGGAATGGTTGCAATGGTCACCTCAACCACAACTGCTGGATGTAGTGCGGCGTACTGTAATGTAGTTGTAGTTGTAGTTGTAGTTGCAGCGCAGGTGTGGTGGGAGTTGTAGTTGTAGCTGTAGTTGTAGTTGCAGTGCAAGTGTCGTTCCAGTTGTGGTGAAGCGTCGTCTAGAGTGTAGTGTAGCTGTAGTTGTAGTTGTGGCTGTAGTGTATTTGCAGCTGCTGCTGCTGCTGCTGCTGCTGCTGCTGTAGTTCCAGTTGCAGTTGCAGCTGTTGTTGTTGTAGCTGTAGTGGTAGTGGTAATGGTAGTGGTATTTGGTGGTGTAGTGGTAGCGTAGTGGTAGTGGTAGTGGTAGCGGTAGTGGTAGTGGTAGTGTAGTGGTAATGTAGTGGTAATGTAGTGGTAATGGTGGCGTGGTGGTGGTGTAGTGCAGTGTATGGAGTGTAGCGTAGTGGTAATCGTAGTGGGGTAGTAGTTGAAGCTGAAGTCGTAGTGTAATGTTCTGGTAGTTGTAGTTGTTGTTGTACTTGTTGTACTTATTGTACTTATTGTACTTGTTGTACTTGTTGTACTTGTTGTGCTTGCTGTGCTTGTTGTACTTGTTGTACTTGTTGTACTTGTTGTACTTGTTGTACTTGTTGTACTTGTTGTGCTTGTTGTGCTTGTTGTACTTGTTGTAATTGTTGTACTTGGTTGTATTGTAGCTGTAGTAGTTTCTCTTGTAGCTGTAGTGTAGTGTGGTCCAGTGTGGCGCCGTTGAATGTCCAAAAGTGGACCCAACATGATCTGCTTGTCACACTTTACCTTCGAGATGTGCTTCACGTCACAACGTCATGCACTTTTTCAACACCTTAACTTCCAAAAGTGCTCTGAACCCCCTCACATTTTAACACTTTTTACTTCGAAATGTGCTTCACGCCACACCGACGTAGACTTTTCGAACATCTCAACGTCCAAAAGTGCACCGAGCATGGTCTGTTGTGCAAATTTTGATATCGAATTGGAAATGTGCTTCGCGCCAAAACCCCGTGCACTTTTTCAACACCTTAACTTCCAAAAGTGCTCCGGATCCCCTCAGTTTTTAACACTTTTGACTTTGACACGTGCTTCGCGCCACAACGACGTGCACTTTTTCAAAACATTAACTTCCAAAAGTGCTCCGAACCTCTCAGTTTTGAACACTTTTGACTTCCAAATGTGCTTCGAGCCACAACGACGTACACTGTTTCAACATCTCAACTTCCAAAAGTGCTCCTAACTGTGGTGTCTTGGGCATGTTGACTTCCAATTTTGCTTCGCGCCACAGCGGCGCAATTTTTCATCTCTCATATCCCCAGATGGCTCCGCACCCGCCCGCTTTAGCGAGCCTACTTTTTGACCCTCCGGGCCACAAAACATTGGAAAAACTGTGTTTTGCGACTTTTCTACTTTTCTCGCACCTGCATCTTCTGTCTTCTGACTCTTTCTCTTCTCTGATCTTCTTTCTTCTTCTCTTCTCTTCACCTCTGCTTTTCAATTTTCTTCGGCCCAGGTTCTCACACTCGTTGATGTGGCGGTGCTGGAGGTAGTGGTCTGACGGAGGGGTGAAATTTCAAGGGACACCTGGCAGAAGTGGGAACCGTGCCTTGAGCTCCAGGTAGTACCAGTCCCCTTCATAGCTCAAGCCTGCGGCACAGGCAATTAAGCTCAATAAATCCGTGCCCCAAGATCCACGCCATCACACCGGCCCAGGCACCACCATAGCCATAGATCCACATGCGCAAAGACTCGTCCACCACAGCGGAATGCCCATAACCTGAAATCTGCCAAGGCTGCCCACCACATTGCGACAAACTTTCCCTGCCAATGCCCCCGAAAAGAACCATCCCCTGATTGCAATAAACCCCCATTGTTCACTAGAATTCCACATCATCGGGTGGAACCAAAAAAAACAGCCAACAGAACGATACAGATCGATTAGAGAATGCCCTGACAACCCCCAATCCTAAATATGCGTTTCACGAAACATTTTAGTCATGTTGCATCTCTTGACATCGCATTCATCATGTGTGTATGTCTCGAACATAAATAATGGGCAGGATCAAGCCAAATCACCAATCCCTTCCACATATACACAAATCAATGCCCTCCACACAGATGATCTGGTGGAAGAATGTAGCGGATCTCTTCATGCGTACGGGTCACTCATGTTCATCCATACATCCACCCATACATTTATATATATATATATATATTGCATATATATATATATACACATACATCTATCCATTTGTTTGCATACATGTGTAAATATACGTGTATATATATTTATTTATTTATTTATTTATTTATTTATTTACATACTGTCTATTTTCTATGGTCTTAACTCCTGGCGCTTCACGCGCACCATGGCACGACCAAAGCTGGAGACCTGGGCCGCCTCGATCTTGCTCCATCTCTCGGCCTTCAGGGCTCATCCCATGGTGGAAGTTGGGATGATCCCGTGCTTTGAATATCATCATGATAGTGAGGGAATAACTCTATTAACAACATCATTATGTGTGAATATGTATGTGGGATTTTTTTAAAAAAAAAAACGATATTTCCTAGTAATATGGTATTAGTATTAATGGGATCTTTAATGGGAATACAATATCTAGCCCATTGCAAGCGCCATATATATATATACATAATAATGATATATTATCATGGTCCCATGGCATGAACAACATACAAAGGGAATCTCATAGTATCATGATACTATCACCTTTGATGCATGATATATTTCTCCAAGAGATTTAGGAAGATGTGTTTCATGAATTTCATGATGCTTCGCATGAGGATGATTTGATAGGGATATATCCTGGTCATATAGCAGGAAAATCATGGGAATATGTTTCATGGATGATCCTATTCTGGAAAACAAAATAAATGGGATATAATTATTGGGATTATCAAAGGAAGTTTTGTTGGAAAACTTCCAAATTATGGACGATTATTCGATTGTCATGGTTAGCATTCCCAGCATCATGTCAATCACATCATCATGTCAACCACCCATTATCAAGTACTTGGGAAGTGTACCACTTCGGGAAGGTGTGAATTCATGGGTGAAGACACTCTCATGCGCGAAACCTTGGGATTTTTACGGTAACGTGGCTTCTGGGGTCGCTGAAGTGGGGTCTTTGTTTTTGCGGCTCCGGGCCTCGATCTGAGAAAGTTGCCGGCAAAAAGTGTACAGGACTGTAGCGAGGGCTTGATTTGCAAATCAAACTGTAAAAACTGACAGCCGTGGAGCACTTTTGGAAGATGACGTCGGCAAAATGTGCACCAAACTGAAGCGAGAGCTCGATTTCATATGGGCTCATATAAAAATCACCAAAAAGAAACTGGCATGTTCGGACCAGTGCCGGATTTGCCTGGTCGAGTTCGCATTGTCAGCGCTGCGCGAATGTTTTTTGGAGTTGGTGTGACGCTCCTGCTTTCTGGGCTTGCAACCGGCTGGGACTAAACGCATGGGCACCGCTGCGCACAGTAAAGCATGAATGATGCTGCGACGCTCCTGGCAAGTGGGATTGCAGCTGGACGTTGCTAAATGCAGCGCAACAGTTGCGCCAAAAGTAATTTTTGAGCCTAGTGCTAGTCTTGTCTTCTGCGGGATCGGACTTGGAGGTTGTTAAACGGATTGTACCAGCTGCGCGAAGAGAAGAACTGGGTTGCAGAAGCCACACAAGAGCTAGCTGGGAGGCAGCGCAGAGCAGAAGTAGCCCGGAAAAGTGGCCATCTATCCATCCATCCAACCACCCATCGGGCATTCGTTTAGCCACTGTTTCATTGATTCACTGAATCAACGATTCATTGGTTCATTGATTCGTTGATTCGCTGATTCATTGGTTCATCTGTTCCATGATTCATTGATTCGTTCAATCGATGATTCATTGATGCACTGATTCATTGATTTGTTGGTTCATTCATTTACTGATTCAATGATTCAGTGTCTCCTTGATTTGTTGATCCACTGATTCCCTGGTGCACTGATTCATTGATTCGTTGGTTCGTTGGTGCATTCATTCACTGCTTCAAATGATTCATTGATTCATGGGTTCATTGCTTCAATGATTGTTTGGTTCGCTGATTCCTTGATTCACTGGTTCTATTGATTCACTGGTTCACTGATTCATGGATTCATTGGTTCATTGATTGGTTGACGCACTGATTCATTAATTCTTTGATTGCTTGATTCAATGATTCATTGATTCGTTGGGTCATTGACTCATGGCTTCGCTGCTTCATTGGTTCAGTGATTCATTGATTCGTCGACTCACGACTTCACTCATTCATTGATTTCTTGGTTCCTTGCTTCGTTGCTTTCATTGGTTCAGCACTTTTTCGACATCGCAACTTCCAAAAGTGGTCCGAACCCCTGGTGTTTTGTACATTTTGACTTGGAAATGTGCTTCGCGCCACAACGGCGTGCACTTTTTCAACATCTCAACTTCCAAAAGTGGTCCGAGCCCCTGGTGTTTTGTACATTTTCACTTGGAAATGTGCTTCGCGCCACAACGGCGTGCAATTTTTCATCTCTCCTCTGGCCAGCTGGCTCCGCACCCGCCGCTTTAGCGAGCCTACTTTTCGACCCTCCGGAGCCACAAATCATTGGAAAAACACAGTGTTTCGCGACTTTCCTACCTTTTCGCGCATCTGCATCTTCTGTCTTCTTACTCTTTCTCTTCTACTCTTCTTTCTTCTAATCTTTCTCTTCTCTCTGCCTCTTCCCTGCTCTGCTTTTCATCTCTCCATATTGTCGGAAGTTTGACTTCTAAACTTCCTTCGATCAAATCTTTACACACAAATATCATATGCGTATGCATCTTTTTACTGATTTGTTCATTCTGGGGTCCGTTATTGTTTGTATGGTACGCATGGATACTTGTGCACAAGTGTCAATGTGTATGTATCAAACACATCACCTCCATCTCAGTCCAAACATCTCAGGTCGTGGGACATGTGGTGCCTTGAAGTGCAGGTAGTACAATTCATCATAACCTCAGCAGAGCCATGAAGACCACAGAACATGCCAAGTTGGGGCTCAACGTCCGGTCGAGACACCCACAGATACACCGCCACGACCACCGAAGACCCACATGCCCTGCTTAGAATCCACGACGGCGGTATGCTCGGAGCGTCCAACAGGGACATTGCCAGCAGCATTCACCGAAGTCCAGGATAGGGCCTGCGCTGGGATCAGCAAAACGGAGTCACTAAGGACAAACCTTCACAAAACCTTAATTGCTGTACCATTTGTATTCCATGCTTTCGAACTGTTTTTAACTCATGGCCATGGGCTCCACGCACGCACAAGGCCTGCTTATCCAGCCAATGGCCATCATTCTCTACACCCGAAAATGACGCCAGTTCGGACCGAGAGTTCCAACTCAAGGGATGTGCAAATGAGCTTCGTCGGTAAGATACAAAGTACATAGTTTAGTATTGAATAAAACAATGTGGGACTCGCTTTGTCTCTCAATGTTTTTCAAGTAAAAGCTGCAAGTTAGAGAGATGGTGTCCAAACCACACCAATGATTACCTTACCCGAACAAATTCCTGGGCTGAGTCGACAACAGTCCACCACCTTTCTCAAAACTTAATCTGGAAAGCCTCCTTCTGTCACAACTTTCACTGACACCGTCTTTGAATGCAACACCATGTGGGATTCTCCGCAGATTCGGAGACACGCGGTATCCATTGACGGCATAGACAGCAAAAACAAAAAGCCCCAACAAAAACATACAAGACCCTTGTACGACGAGCCCTCCATTGCCACTCTTGGACCTGCCTGCAAGTCGAAGTAATACAAATCATTGAACCGACCTGGACCTGGAAGACATCACAGAAAGACACAGCAATGCATGTCCCAAACAAAACACATTGAAGGTCCAAATATCATCGCAAAAAAAAACGATCTTTCTCCAACAAATGGAGCCCGAAATTGGACAGACTTGTGGTCTTCATCCGAATCATTTCCCATCCCATCACCAAGCTGCTAAAGCTGTCGCTTCCACCAAATACCCACATCCTGGGCGCCAGATCCAGCGGATCCTCCAGCACAGCACTGTGGGAGAAGCGCGCGGAAGGCGCGTTGCCAGAAATCGAAACCAGCGTCCAAGTTTCAGCCTGGAGAAAAGAATGGTGAAAAATTGTGAAACAGCCTGTGTCTGAAACTGATGTGCGCCTAGGAAATCCCATGATTGATCATGGTTTTTCCCCATGAAACAATACACTATGATGTGGTGTCCCCCATGTTTGGACAAACCTACTTTTGGGACTTGCGGGCCGGGAGGTCTCTAATGCGTTGGTGAGAAATGGACAAAGACACACGTTTTCCTGTGGATACATATCAAATGTGGGGCAACCCGTATTTTGGGGCCTGTTTGCAAGTGAATTTATAGCAAGGTACCACTGCAAAATGGGGAGGTTTAAAATCCACGGATCAAAATGTGTATGTATGTTTGTATGTTTGTATGTTTGTATGTATGTATGTATGTATGTATGTATGTATGTATGTATGTATGTATGTATGTATGTATGTATGTATGTATGTATGTATGTATGTATGTATATATACATCGGTTCGTGACTCGAATATCTCTGGTTGGCCCTTGGCCCAAGGACCTACAAAAGTCATGCACTGGGAAAGAGTTGCTGATCTTTCTTGAAGACTCTTGGCTCAATGTGGCCACGCCATGCCATGGTGTGACCGCCTGGATATCAAAGTGGTAAAGGTCATCGAAAACACCTCAGCTCGCCCCAGCTCGACATCACAACTGTGAAATCGCTGCTAAAAACAACTGGTTCATTCACAAGGTACAAGCTGAACGATGACAATTTCATTATCTAGCTATGTGTATACTGCACACATACAATTATAATATCCGCCGACCCCGGCCGACGGCAAGGGGGAGCGCGTCAGGGAAGAGAGGTTGTGGACAACAAGAAATACAACAACGGTTCTTGGGAAGCTTTCCAAAGTAGCCGAACAGCAACAGCAGCAAGGACAAGTGCTTTGGTGTTGGACGTTAGGGATTTCTGGTGGCTCATTTTGGCATCTTTTCGGGCACGAAATTAGGTGGTGTTTCGGTGTGACGAGGCCAGAAAAAAAGTAGCCGAAGAGCAACAGCAGCAAGAAAAGCAACAGAACAGCAACAGCAGCAAGATAAACAGTATTGGACAAGTGTTTTGGTATTCTGTAGTAGGGTTCCAGAAGGGACGTTAGGGATTTCTGGTGGCTCATTTTGGCGCCTTTTTGAGAACCAAATTAGGTGGTGTTTGGGTGTGGCGAAGCCAAGTGTTTCGCATGCGTTCGCCAAAGCAAGTTTAGCAGCAGCAGCAGCAGTAAGAGCAGCGGCAGTGGCAGCGGCAGCAGCAAGTCCAGCACCAGCAGCAGTAAGAGCAGCGGCAGCAGCTAGCAGGATTTCAGAAGGGATGTTCCGGCGTCGGGAAGCGTATTTTGGACTCGGTTCGTCCTTTAAGGTCATGGCATTTTGCTGCCGGCAGGTGTTTCGCATGCGTTCGCCAAAGCAAGTCCAGCAGCCGCCAGTCAGAAGGCACCAAGCCCGCAGCAGGCAGCCAGCAGGCAGCAGGTACCAGCCAGCAGCCAGTCCAGCAGCAGCCACGCAATTTTGATACTTTTCCGTCCTTCACTGCCATGGTGTTTTCTTGTCCGGGAGCTGTCTTTTAAACAGAAGGAATTCCATCCGGGAGCTGCCTTTTGAACAGAAGGAGCAGCAGGCGCAGCAGCAGCAGCAGGAGGAAAAAGTAGCTAAAATCATCTTTTTCTATGGGTCTCAGAAGTTACATTAGGCAGTTTTTGGGCGCAATTTTGATGCGTTTCCGTCCTTCACTGCCATGGCGCTTTCCCATCCGGGAGCTGTCTTTTGAGCGACAGGAGCAGCAGGAACAGGAGCAGCAGCAGCAGCAGGAGCAGGAAAAAAAAGCAGCCAAAACCATCTTTTTCTATGGGTTTCAGAAGTTACATTAGGCAGTTTTTGGGCGCAATTTTGATGCTTTTCCGTCCTTCACTACCATGGGGTTTTCCCATCCGGGAGCTGTCTATTGAATTTTTTGAACAGAAGGAGCAGCTGGGGCAGGAGCAGTAGCAGCAGGAGGAAAAAGTAGCTAAAATCATCTTTTTCTATGGGTTTCAGAAGTTACAGTAGGCAGTTTTTGGGCGCAATTTTGATGCTTTTCCGTCCTTCACTCCCATCGTGTTTTCCCATCCGGGTGCTGTCTTTTGAACAGAAGGAGCAGCAGGAGCAGCAGCAGCAGCAGGAGGAAACAGTAGCTAAAATCATCTTTTTCTATGAATTTCAGAAGTTAGATTGGATAGTTTTTTGGCCGCAATCTTGATGCTTTTCCATCCTTCACTGCCATGGTGTTTTCCCATCCTGGAGCTGTCTTTTGAAAGTTTTGAGCAGGAACAGGAGCAGCAGGAGCAGGAGCAGCAGCAGGAGGAAAAAGTAGCTAAAATCATCTTTTTCTATGGGTTTCAGAAGTTACATTAGGCAGTTTTTGGGCGCAATTTTGATGTTTTTCCGTCCTTCACTGCCATGGTGTTTTCCCATCTGGGAGCTGTCTATTGAATTTTTTGAACAAAGGAGCAGCAGGGGCAGGAGCAGTAGCAGCAGGAGGAAAAAGTAGCTAAAATCATCTTTTTCTATGGGTTTCAGAAGTTACAGTAGGCAGTTTTTGGGCGCAATTTTGATGCTTTTCCGTCCTTCACTCCCATTGTGTTTTCCCATCTGGGAGCTGTCTTTTGAACAGAAGGAGCAGCAGGAGCAGTAGCAGCAGGAGGAAAAAGTAGCTAAAATCATCTTTTTCTATGGGTTTCAGAAGTTACAGTAGGCAGTTTTTGGGCGCAATTTTGATGCTTTTCCGTCCTTCACTGCCATTGTGTTTTCCCATCCCGGAGCTGTCTTTTGAAAGTTGTGAACAGAAGGAGCAACAGGAGCAGCAGCAGGAGGAAACAGCGGGAACTATCTTCTGAACAGAAGGAGCAGCAGGAGCAGGAGCAGCAGCAGGAGGAAAAAGTAGCTAAAACCATCTTTTTCTATGGGTTTCAGAAGTTACATTGGGCAGTTCTTGGGCGTAATTTTGATGCTTTTCCGTCCTTCACTGCCATGGCGTTTTCCCATCCGGGAGCTGTTTTTTGAGCAGCAGGAGCAGCAGGAACAGGAGCAGCAGCAGAAGCAGCAGAAAGAAAGAAAAAGTAGCTAAAATCATATTTTTCTATTGGTTTCAGAAGTTACATTAGGCAGTTTTTGGGCGCAATTTTGATGTTTTTCCGCCCTTCACTGCCGTTGTGTTTTCCCATCCGGGAGCTGCCTTTTGAACACAAGGAGCAGCGAGAGCAGGAGCAGCAGCAGCAGCAGGAGGAAAAAGTTGCTAAAATCATTCGATTCTATGGGTTTGAAGTTACATTAGGCAGTTTTGGGGTGCAATTTTGATGATTTTCCGTCCTTCACTGCCATGGCGTTTTCACATCCGGGAGCTGTCTTTTGAGCAGAAGCACCAGCACAGCACCAACACAAGTGGCATGGTGTTTCGGTGTGGCGAGGGATACTTTTTGGAGGCCTGCAGCAGCACGAGGAGCAGCAGCAGGAGCAAGAGCAGCAGCAGCAGCAGCAGCAAGAGGAAAAAGTAGCTAACATCATCACTTTTCTATACGGTAGCTAAAATCATCCTTTTCTATGGGTTTCAGAAGTTACATTAGGCAGTTTGTGGGCGCAAGTTTGATGCTTTTCCGTCCTTCACTGCCATGGTGTTTTTCCATCCAGGAGCTTCGACATACACGTTGCTCTTACAGCAACCCGCATTTGATACATCTCTTACAACAGCCTGCATTTGATACATTAGATGCGTTGCTCTCACAGCAGCCACAGCAACCCGCATTTGATACATTACACGCGTTGCTCTCGCAGCAGCCTGCATTTGATACATTACATGCGTTGCTCTCACAGCAGCCCAAAATAGTTTAAATAGAACCCCATATAATCTAAATATCTTGCTGTCACAGCAACCCAAATTTATATACGTGTTGCTCTCACAGCAACCCCAATTGCTAGATATGGATTGCTGTAACAAGGAAGCACACAAAGGAATGAAGCTAGACTTGTTCTTTTTTTTTTACGGGGTCAGCGGCAGGCCAGGGGCCCCCTGGCCGTGGCATTGCCGTACGGCAGTTCTCTCCTCTCCGTAGGAGAGAGGGGCCGCCGCCCTAGCCGCAGTAGACCTCCCCCCGCCAAAAACCCCCGCGTTTTACGGTGTTTTGTGCTCTTCCCATTTTTCAGATTCTTGGCTCGAGATGGGTCAACATGGGCCAACATAGGCCTCAAGATGGGCCAACATAGCCTCAAGATGGGCCAACATAGCCCCCAAGATGGGCCAACATAGCCCCAAGATGGGCCAACATAGCCCCAAGATGGGCCCACATTGCCCTCAAGATAGGCCAACATAGCTTCAGATGGGCCAACATAGCCCCAAGATAGGCCGCCGACCTTCAAAATACCCTGCGTTTTACGGTGTTTTTTTGCGGTTCCCATTTTTCGGATCTTTTGGCTCAACATGGGTCAACATAGGCCTCACGATCGGCCCACCTAGGCCCTAGGCCCCAAGACAGGCCAACATAGCGCCAAGGTGGGCCAACATAGCCCCAAGATGGACCAACATAGCCTCAAGATGGGGCAACATAGCCTTAAGATCTTGCTCCCAGCTAGACCCATATCACCTCAACATGGGCCCCTGGCCGGCTGTCGCGCGTAAGCGCTTAAATTCTGGCGATGCCTCGCCGTGCAGTGGTGGTTGCTAAGCATAGCTTTAGCTACCCGGGGGCGCGCCCCTGCCGCCGACCTTTTCCGAAAATCCTTCAGGGTGCTGGGGGTTTCACGTTTTTCGGGGTTCCGGGTGGGAAAAAAGAGGGTAAAATTCGAAGATGCGTTTTGGAGGTCCTTGTTGGGCGTTTTTTGGTCGATTTTTGGTCGATTTTTCATAATTTTTTGGTACTGTCCACGCGTAAAAATCGTGTAATTTACCATGTTATTGTGCCTTTGGCATCCCAAAAAAGCTTGTGACAACATGCTGAATACCAGTGTTTTTGCTAGGCCCGGCCCAGGCCACAAAACACTGTAAATACCGTGATTTCTGCTAGCAGAGGCTCAAAACCTCGTAAATACCGTGGTTTTGCGTTGGCGCGGAACCAAAAACATCGGCATTTACGGTGTTTTTTTGTTCCGAGAACGTGAAAAATCGCGCAAACACCGCCTATTTGACGCTTTTTGGGGTTTGCAAAAACCGCCTATTTGACGATTTTCGGGGGTTTGCAAAAAGTCCCAACTACAAAGATAACAACGACAACGACAACAGGACCAAGCAGCAACAGCAACAAGTAACAATAACAACAACAGCGACGACGACGACGCCGCCAACGACGAAGACGACGACACCAACGACAACGACGACAACGACGACAATGACGACGACGACAACAAGGACGCCGACAACGACAACGACAACACGAACAAGAACAAGAACGAGAATTCCACTCCTCCCTTTCGCTGTCCGCCATCGCTCTGCTTGCCGCTTCGGCAACTCTCAAGCCACAATGCCAGCTCTGCAGCAAGATGCAGCTCGCAGCATGTCATGTCCGCAAGTTCAGATGAAATCCCCCTTTCTCTTTCCCTCCCCCGACCCCTACAGGCATCGCCAGTGTGCGAAGCTCTACAATATATAGTATTATCATATGTTTAATATCATATATAATGAATATATATATATATACATACATAGATACACATTATATCTATGTATATGTATATGTGTGTGTGTATCACCAACGCACCAAACCCACCGCAACGCCATGGCGCTGTAACTGGACTCAGGGCCACCCCGTCCACCGAAGATCCAAATCCGATCTTCGAGGTCCAGCACGGCGCTATGTCCCGAGCGCCCACTGGGCGAAAACGAGGTCTCCACCGCGATCCACTGCTGCGCCTGGGAAAAATTGGCGATTTTTGTTCCAGCGGAACCAGGAAAACGAATGGAAACACATTTTGTGGATATAAGTTTTTTGATGAATAGCTTTTGTGTTCTTGGTGAGAAAAGGTTTAGGCATTGACCCCACCAACACTCCTGTTTGGAGAGTACCCTGGAATCTGCTTCTTGGCCACTTCTTGGCCTGCGTGTCTAAGTAGTACAACTCGTTCGTCACCCAACCTGGCCAGCTGATGGTCAGCTGCCATGTCCATAACGCTCAAGGGACAAACACTTCAAACTTCCTGAAAATGATGCGGCAAAACGATCCTGCAAAGGGATCCTCTTCCCTACGCAGCCAGAGACACTTGGTGAGACATATGGTGGATCAGTCCCAAGGGAACCGCCAAAGATCCACATACTGAAGTTGGCGTCCAACACTGCACCTTGTCACTGGATGCTGTGTCACGACCCTGGGAACAAAATACTTTGGCGATCTTTGGCCATCTTTTGCTACTTTGGTTTCTCCTCCAAATCTTCCTAAACTGCGATTCATTGAGTCTTCAAAGGTCCAAGTCGTCTTCAACGCCATCCCCAGCGACAAAATTCCATGTCGACTCACCCAATCCGCCGGGGTACTATGTCCTGATCTTGCGGAGGGCGTGTTATTGTACGACATCGACGTCCAAGAGCTATCCTGCAATCTTCTGTGAGACACCAAGAACCAGAGGGATCATCAAAGCTGCCTCTTGGTTTCCATTAAAATACACCATTTTGGTAGGGGCCGGGGGCTCACCACTTGAAACATACCCATGCAAATGATTCGATTTTGACAAGATGACAAACAGGCGATCGAGTTCATATCATATCATATCATATCACATCATATCATATCAGATCATATCATATCATATTATATGATACTATACTATACTATACTATACTATATTATATTATATTATATGTTATGTTATGTTATATTATATTATATTAAAGTATATTATATTATATTATATTAATATTATATTATATTATATTGTATTATATTATAATATATTATATTGTATTATATTATATTACACTATATTATATTATATTATATTATATTATGTTATATTATATTGTATTATATTATAATATATTATATTGTATTATATTATATTACACTATATTATATTATATTAATATTATAATATATTATTATACTATGATATAATATAATATAATACTATATTATATTATATTGTATTGTATTATATTGTATTATATTGTATGATACTATACTATACTATACAAAATCATATTATATTATATTATATTATATTATATTATATTATATTTTGTTACGTTATATTATATTATATTACTATTATATTATATTATATTACATTATATTATATTATATTATATTATACTATAATATATTATATTATATTATATTATATTACATTATATTATATTATATTATGTTATATTATATTATATATATACATACATCACTCCAAAGCAATGCTTTGTGATCTTTGCGAGTAGCATCTGGTGATCTGAAATGGTAATGCAAATTCGAGCGTTTACAGATAGCCTACTCCACGTGGGAATTGTGTTGCCAGGGACCAAAGCCTCGATGCTCCAAATCCAAAGATCATTGAATCGTTTCCCTTGGCGCCATGGGATGTTGGACCCAAATGACCTGAAAATGGGAACTCAACAAGGGGAATGATTCGGAATGATGGTGATGTCATAGGAGTCCATGTACGAATTATCCCTATCCCGCAAAGCCTCCGCAAATGATGATCGATGCTGCGGCACCAACTCAGAGCAGCTCAGGACCTGGCCTACAAAGTAACCATAACCACCAAAGATCAGGATGCTCTGGTTGAAGAGCACTGCTGAGTGGCCCTGCAGTACACAAGGTTTGTCCCTCACGACTATCTGGGAGTAATTCGAGTTGCTACCGGATGAAATGGGAAATCGATATTTTTACGTAACCATACAATGAAGTAGCCAAGGATCAAGGAAAAGAATACCATGAAATGGGCCTAAAGAACCCTATGCAACAATATGTCTGCAAAATCCCTGGAAGATGCATGTTTTTTGTACTGGTGAGCTTTTAAATGGTTGACTCGGTTATTTGGATGTACGTAATCCACATGGGTAAAAATCAATTAATTGTTCACCTTCACACCATTGGCCAAGGCACCCAGAAACCCGAACTGGGTTTCAAAGTAGTCGAAGGGGTCACCTGGGTCCAAGTTTGGGCCTTGGAATGACAAGAGAAAAGGTCGGTCAATGGGGATTCCTAACTTGTGGATGATGATAATCCCCAAGATATTGGGTAATATATGGTAATATGACCCCGCGATAAACCTGTTTGATCATCAACCAACATAAGTTTTGAACACTATTCATGTTTTTTTCCGGAATGCGAATCACTGGGGGTTTTTGGCGCCTGAGGTTTCAGCCTGGACCAACGGAACAGCCGAAGCAAAAACAGCATAAAAGCGCCTTAGCCAAGGCCGGAGGTGATAGTTGGGCGTTTCCCGTTTTCGGAGAAGGTGAACAAAATTTGATCCACTTGAATTGACAAGCCTTTGAATATCCAAATGGTTTGGTTCATTGCATCGCTTGCAGGACTTCAAAAAGTGATTGTCCAACTATCCCATGTCGGGTGTCATTTTTCTATTCCACCAAGTAAAATGAATGCAGCCAAGTGGCAAAGTGAGCATGGCCAACTGGGTTTCAACTGTCAGCGAACACCATATGTATTGGAACAAACAGTTGGACTGCATGTCAAGCAAGCATCCCACAGAACAACCTGGTGAAATTCAATGTCCCAATAATTGTTGACAAAAAATGGTTGGGAACAGGAAATGCTGACCGTAAATGAAGATAAGTATATTAACTATGGTAATTTTACATGTGGGTTTTGTTGCTGATGTATCGCAATCCTCATAATCAAACACCACTGCTAGAAGTCTCATTTCCACTTGGCTTGAACCAACATGACCAGGTTTGCACAAAAAAACAGCACGACACCCAAACAAATTCATTTTTCAATGTTGGTTTTCTTCGGCGCCAGGGGAAAAATGGTTCGATTCCCCGAACTTTTGGTGTTCGACAAAATAGTTTATATAAACAAATTGAGAACTTTCAACAAATGTCATACCACCAAGGTTTGGGTTTGGAAATGTTTGGCAATATGTGCAACATGTTGTTGTCCCCTAATTATCCCGGCAAAAGACCCCAAACAGTGTTGCGGAGAACATCTAATTACTGCCAAAAGTTCTTGACTTGAAAGGGAGACACGAAAGGTAGGTGATCAAGAAGGGGAAACAAAACCTGTCTGTGTAAAAGTTGGTTGTGTGTAAACGCGTACTGTGTGCACAAGTTTCTGTGCGCAATTTGTGTTTGTGTAAGGACATCTGCGTGTAAAATCGTCTGTATGTAAAAAAGGCTGTGCGTAAAACCTTCTGTGCGTAAGATTTCTGTGCGGAGAATTTTCTGTGTAAAAACCGACTGTCTGTAAAAACTGTTGTGAATAGTCGTTTTTGTGCTTAAAGGTTTCTGCGCGAAAAGGTTTCTGCTGTGTAAAAACTGTTCTGGATGTGAAAAGTTTCTAGCAGCACTCATTCCATGGATGACATGCACAAATCGAGAAGATGACATTCACGAAATCGAGAAGTGTAACTTTCATTTGAACAGTTGTGGTAGACATTTCACATGACAAAATGTCATGAATTTTCAGGCCCTTTTAGCTGGTTCAAAATAGCGCGCTCGTGCTGCCAGATTCTTCGCATGGTAGCGTGAGCTGTGGTGTCAGCTTTGCAGGTGATTGCATCTGGATCTGGCTGGAAGTTTTGGATTGGGATTGGAGGTGGCTGCAATTTGAACTGTTTTTCATAACGGGTTGCATTCCATTCTTATTTTCTGGTCTACGGACTTTCTGGCTGGGCGACAGGTGATTACAACAGTTTGCAGGGGTACAGATTTGGCATGGTATTTGGCTTGGACGTTTGACAGTGGAGTTCAGCAGGTTGGATTTGGGGACATAATACCATGGCGACGCCTCGCATTATTGACCTCAGTATCCTGCAGACTGCTTTGCTTCAGGTGGCTGAAGCTACAAAGGCGGCTTCAGAGGCGGCCAAAGCTGCGAGTGTGGTTCAACAAAGGGCCACAAGTTCCACTGGAGGTGCAAATACAATGGATTGGAGTAAGCTGGTGAACCGACCACCAGTTTTTGAGCATGCAACAAGGGAGGCCGAGATCAAGGGTTTCAAAGATTGATTGGTCTTGGCAGGTTTGCCAGTATTTGGGAACAATAGATGCCAACTATGATGATGAGTTGAAGAAGCTGTTTGATGATCCTTCAAAAGCTTTGATATGTCCACTGCCTCAATGGAAACAAGGACACGGAGTACAAAACTGTATGGGTTGCTTGCTTCACTTGTGCGTGGCAAATCGTTGAACACAATCAAGAGCATTGGCAATTCAGATGGTTATGAAGCACTTCGACAAATAATACGTTCCCTGCGTCCAAACTACAACAGGGGTTTAGCTCTTCTGACAGCTGCAACATCGTGGCCTGCTTTTAACATGGGTCTTCCACTTCAACCACACATCTTCAAGTTGGAGGTGATCTTTGAGGAATCCAGGAAAGCTGGAACAGAAATTCAAGATGCCGTGAAGGCAGCTATCTTAATGCGTTGTGTGACTGGACAACTGCGTACTTATCTCAATGTGGGTGCTCAGGACAACATGCAGTACAACACCCTTCGAGGGCAATGTTTGCGTTGGGATAGGGTTCAACACCGCTGGTCTGGACTAGTATCTGGGGATGACCAAATTGTCCCTATGGAGGTGGATCGTGTGAAAGGAAAAGGCAAGTGGAACAACAAGGGAAGCTCCCCTGCTAGGTGTCGCGCGTTTTTTAACGCACAACGCCTTTAAAACCTGCATTTCGTGAATTTTGTCAAAATGCATCTTCCAAGAGGGGTCTCCGAAGTAATTTTTTTTTGTACCTCATCGCGCATACATTGCTTTCAAAGCTTTGGACAGGTGTGAGACACAGTCATTCTTTTCCTGAGATCGCCACTGCCAACTTCGGATGTACTGCAGCAATTGGGGGTTGACTCGTCTGCAGAAGCGACCAATGGTTTCCAAGGTGTCTGGAATCCATTTCTTGATGCTCTTCCAAGAAGAATTTGCTTTCTGCGTGCCAGCAATTTTGCTAGCTCTCCATGGTTTGCGTTTCAATTTTCTAGTAAACTCTTGAAATACATGCCGCACAGAGACACTGCGATGACCTTGTCGCTTCGCCATGGACGGCCAAGCCTTCGCCAGAAGCATGCCATGCCGAGGTACTGCTACATGGTAACTATGACAGGAGCCAGAACAACGCAACAAGCAAAACCAACGTGAAAGCCATGAAACCAAGCAACATTCCACATGTGACACGAAGACATCAACATAAGCAACAAAGACGTATCGAAAATGTCTTAACCAAAGGAAAGACATGAGATCCTTTTATTTTAAAACTCTTCTAACAACGCACAAAAAAAGAAATCATCCGCGTTGCAAAATATGAATTGCAAAGAAGAAATGCGTGTAAGGAAGTAGTTGCAAGTACGCTGGTTAACGTGAACGTTCTAATCCCCCCCAAACCCAACCCCATGCCCA